TATTGCCAACTGGGCAAGTATCTTGCTCTTGTGTATTGTGTAAGTTGGAAGTTTTTTAAACTGTTTTTATTGGTTTCACTTTTTACTGTTTTAAAAAAGTTTCTAAAAATATTTTTGATACGTTTTTTCTGAATTGTAAACTGCTCAGAATCGTTGACTGAGATGGGCGTCAGTAGAAATGGAATAAATAAAACAAATATATTTGTAGTTTTAATCTGTGACATCGGAGGACAACATTATAGCCAAGAAAACTGGACACCTTTAGTGCTCTCTCTCTCTACATGGCTGAGACCAATAGGAAGACCCAGGGTTGTAGGTTACACTGGTAAGATTTGGGCTTTTGGAAATGAGATTTTGACTCTGCTAGTGGGCAGAAACATAAATTAAAATGATACAGATGTGTTCATGTAATTTACTAAACTGTGAGGGAATCCACTTGTGGGACTCTTTACTATTACTGAATTCTGGGGTGGTGGTGATGAAGAGGCATCTTGAGGAACATTGCTACTCCTGCCCTATAATAATTTTCAACTTGTAGAGAAATTAATGGGGACCTCCTGTGTAAAGTCAATCACTTTGTGGTAAGGAGGGAATAGGAATTTCTAGATACCTCTGGTTTCTGTAGTACTGTAGTTTACTATCAAATTAAAACTCATTAAACCTGTTTGTTTTTTTTAATTTGATTTATATGCCGCCCTTCTCCGAAGACTCAGGGCAGCTTACAATGTGCTCAGCAATAGCCTTCATCCTTTTGTATATTTATACAAAGTCAGCTTATTGCCCCCACAACTGGGTCCTCAATTTACCTACCTTAGAAAGGATGGAAGGCTGAGTCAACCTTGAGCCTTGGCGAGATTCGAACCCTGCAGTAATTGCAGGCAGCTGGTCTTAATAACCAGCTTAATAACAGGGTGCCTTAAACCCCTGTACTACCAAGGCTCCTAGGTTTCATGGGACATGTTGCATTATACCCTGGCTGAAGTCTTAAAGGGCAAATTTCTTTCAGTTATCCCAAGGGAGTGCCAAGACTTGGCTTCATAGATATAAAGCCAAGGTATACAGGTGAAACTCGAAAAATTAGAATATCGTGCAAAAGTTCATTTATTTCAGTAATGCAACTTAAAAGGTGAAACTAATATATGAGATAAGACTCATTACATGCAAAGCGAGATAGTTCAAGCCTTGATTTGTCATAATTTTGATGATTATGGCTTACAGCTCATGAAAACCTCAAATTCACAATCTCAGAAAATTAGAATGTTACATGAAATCAATAAAACAAGGATTGTACATAGAACAATATCGGACCCCTGAAAAGTATAAGCATGCATATGTACTCAGTACTTGGTTTGGGCCCCTTTTGCATCAATTACTGCCTCAATGCGGGATGGCATGGATGCTATCAGCCTGTGGCACTGCTGAGGTGTTATGGAAGACCAGGATGCTTCAATAGCGGCCTTCAGCTCTTCTGCATTGTTCGGTCTCATGTCTCTCATCTTTCTCTTGGCAATGCCCCATAGTTTGCTGGCCAATCAAGCACAGTAATCCCATGGTCATTGAACCAGGTTTTGGTACTTTTGGCAGTGTGGGCAGGTGCCAAGTCCTGCTGGAAAATGAAGTCAGCATCCCCATAAAGCTCGTCTGTGGAAGGAAGCATGAAGTGCTACAAAATCTCCTGGTAGACGGCTGTGTTGACCCTGGACTTAATGAAGCACAGTGGACCAACACCAGCAGATGACATGGCTCCGCAAATCAACACAGACTGTGGAAACTTCACACTGGACTTCAAACATCTTGCAGTATGTGCCTCTCCATTCTTCCTCCAGACTCTGGGTCCTTGGTTTCCAAATGAGATGCAGAAGTTGCTCTCATCAGAAAAGAGGACTTTGGACCACTGAGCAACAGACCAGTTCTTTTTGTCTTTAGCCCAGGTAAGACGCTTCTGATGTTATTTGTTGTTCAGGAGCGGCTTGACAAGAGGAATAGGACATTTGAAGCCCATGTCCAGGATCCGTCTGTGTGTGGTGGCTCTTGATGCACTGACTCCAGCCTCAGTCCACTCCTTGTGAAAGTCTCCAACACTTTTGAATGGCCTTTTTCTGACAATCCTGTCCAGGCTGCGGTCATCCCTGCTGCTTGTGCACCTTTTTCTTCCACACTTTTCCCTCCACATAACTTTCTATTAATGTGCTTTGATACAGCACTTTGGGAACATCCAACTTCTTTTGCAATTACCTTTTGAGGCTTTCCCTCCTTATGGAGGGTGTCAATGATGGTTTTCTGCACAACTGTCAGGTCAGCAGTCTTTCCCATGATTGTGATTCCTACTGAACCAGACACAGAGACCATTTAAAGGCTCAGGAACCCTTTGCCAGGTGTTATGGCTTAATTAGCTGATTAGAGTGGGGCACTTTGAGCCTAGAATATTGAACCTTTTCACAATATTCTAATTTTCTGAGATTGTGAATTTGGGGTTTTCATGAGCTGTAAGCCATAATCATCAAAATTATGACAAATCAAGGCTTGAACTATCTCGCTTTGCATGTAATGAATCTATCTCATATTAGTTTCACCTTTTAAGTTACATTACTTAAATAAATGAACTTTTGCACGATATTCTAATTTTTTGAGTTTCACCTGTATAGATGAGACTATGCAGTGATATGGTAATGCTTACTGATGGCTGTGTTATTCGTTATATATCCTGCTTTCGCAACTGATCAACACTCTCAGCCCAATCTTTATCCATATTATTCCAAAGCCTTTTTGTGTGCAAACAAAACAATCTGATTCTGAATTCATTTTATGGGTTTGCACAATACATTCTAGTGTAAAATACTTGGGTTGTCCAAAATTAAATTTAGGCAATCAAGATATTGTACAATTGTGTTCAAATAAAATGGAAGCCTGTATAACCATGATTTACTGAATAAACCATAATTGATTAGGTTCCCAAGTCAAGCCATAAACTAACTTACTTACAAGCCATAAATTTACTAACCACAGTGCCTGGTTACAAACACTAAGCTGCATACACTAAGCTGCAAGCAAACAAATTATATTATGACAATATGTAGTGTGAATTTGCCCAAGTGATTTTGACAGCATATGCAGGCATATTTGTGAGCAGGACCATTGGAAGTTATGCATTTGCTTTGCTATCTAGTGTTTGTCCATATACTTCCCCTAATTAATTGAAATAACTCAGTTTGCTGGGTTCTCATGCATACTAAGACAAATCAATAGATTTTGCATTACACGCTAGATTAAATGTCTGTAATTTATTTGCTGTATTCATACACCACATTCAAGCAGGTATGGCATATGGGTTTTAATGCCTTGGCAAGACTGCTGTTCTGTTGCCATGAGTAACAAGAGGATATAGAATGAGTAAAAAGAGCGAAATGCCCAATTTTTATCTTGAAGTGAAGGTGTGAAATCACAAGGGCTGAGCTGTTGTGATGAGATTTGAGACTGGAGTCCCATTGATTGGCCTGGTATATAAATGTTGGGGACCAGAGCTCTGGGAGAGGCACCTACCTTCTCAGTTGCTTGGGGGAATATACTGCTGGCCTGAATAAAAATTGGAGAGAGAAGGCAAGAAAAAGTCACTGCATTAGTGGCTGGAAAGAAAAGTTGGAAAGAGAAATTAAGTGTGCAGAGTTGTTGGTTCCTGGTTGGAGAAGAAAGGTCCAGGAGTGGCTTTCCTGAAAAAAGGGAAATGAAAATGGAGAGACAGAAGCTCTAGCCAAGATGAGAAGGAGGAACCCAATTGAGTGTAGGCATTAACTTCACCCAAGACCCCAAAGGGGAAGGATTGGTTGTTGGTGGCAAAGTCCTGTCTTCTGGGAAAAGACTGAGCAGAAGATCCTGAGAGGTTTTTCCCTCTCTGGAAGAGCCAGCATTCAGCTGAGCATTTTCATGAGGTCAAGTTGTGCTGAGCATGGACAGTAAAATTCCAGCTACATTCTTCTCCCCCCTCCCCAGTCTCTCTCTTGTTAAGTCCTCAAATTGGGGAGGGAGTTGGAGTGAAAATGGGAGGAAAACAAGACTGTTAGCAGGAGAGTTAGAGGGAGAGAGTCTGTGGGTGGGAGACTTAGGAAGAAACCTGATACTGGGTGAATAGGGGCTGTGTTATAAATACTAGTCATATATAGCTTCACTGTAAATAGTAAAAAAAAGCATAAAAGCCTCTATGATCTAGTTTTTTGTGTCAATTGCCATTCTTGCCAAAACACAACATATCTCCAGTTATGACAGCAAATCTGTTACAACATAGCAGCTACATTCAAATTTGTTAAAACTTGTTTTATATTATTTGTTTTTGAGAGGCTTACTTGGTTGTTTGAACTCAGATCATTTGCTTACTCTATAGTTTATAGTATACACTGTAGTATACAGTGCATTGTTCAAGCCCAGAAAAATGGGTTAATACTTAGGTTAAATGTATTATGTGAACCCAGCCATGGTTTAGCTGTCTCCCAGCTAAGGCTGATGCTCTAATACAGTGTTTCTCAACCTCAGCAGTTTTAAGATGTGTCGAAGTCAACTCCCAGTGTTTCCCAGCCAACAACATGTTAACATTGCCAAGTTTTAAAAAAACCAGCTATAATGCCTGTACTCCTTGCATTTTTGATCCCATCTTGGAGCAGAGGTCAGAAAAAAGGCAAGAGCTCCAGGGGTGGAAGTGTTGATTCAACATAAATCCCTGAAGAAGGAAATGGCAAGCTATTTCCATATTGTCAAGAAAACTATACAGACACATCCATGAATTCATTAGGAGATGAGCTGAATTCGCAGGAGACTATACTTTGCAGTGCCAGATTGATGCCTGTAATGCAGGGTCCAGCCTGTATGCCTATCTGACTATGCAGATATATCCAAGGAAAAGGCCTTAACCAAGGGGTCATGAAATATAAATTCTGTGCATTGATGGCAGAAATAATGGGAGTAAAATAAAGCTGCTGCAAAATAGGAGATAATCAATATAAGAACAAAGATTGATTTTACATATTTAAAATATTTAATACTGTCCATCCTCGAATTACTTTTAGGGCAATGTACAATAGAAACAAAATACTTATATCAAATACAAATCTGATAAATGGCAACATTAACCTCAATTAACAAATCTGAGAGGCTGTAGAAGCTATAGAAATCCTATGATGCTGGTTGAGACACCATAGCAAGATAAGCTATCTGGCAAATAGAATGCCTTACCCCATTGCCTCAAATAACATAGCATTGGCATCAGTCATCTTTTTGGGGGGAGAGTTTTCAAGCCTACAGGATTATCCTTCCTTCACTTCAGAGTCTACTTTCAATTTATGCTCACAACAATCACTTTGTGAGGTAGGTTAGATTGAGATACTGGGTGAGTGCCCATGGAAGGGAGTGATCATGGTGGAGTAGGTTTCCATGCTTTCAGTCTAGCATTTTAACCACTCTACCATACTGCTTGCTTTAGATCAGGGCTCTCCAAATTTGGAAACTTTAAAACTTGTGGACTTCAACTCCCAGAACACCTCAGCCAATATAGTATAGTTGACCAGGGAATTCTGAGAGTTGAAATCTACAGAACGTTGCCAAGTTTGGAGACCCTTGCTTTAGTTTTGGAGTGATAAATTTCCATTCAAAAAAAAAAAAAAAGTGAAAAAAGAGCTCATTTTAGTTGAGTCAGGTTTTCTTCAGCCCCATGCAAAACAAAATTAATGGCTCTGTTTGGGTGACAAATTTACCATGTTTATCACCTAATTTTTTGTGCACATGCAACCCTTTGGGAGCTATTGTTCAAAGTTCAAAGAAGTGGGAGGCATCATTACTCAACCTGATGCTCTCAAAATACATTGGAAGTGCAACTCCCAGCATTCTCAGATACCATGCTAAGAATCTAAAGGATCTTAAAACATCTGGATTGCATCCAGTTGAGGAAAGTTGCCTATGGGCAGGAGTCAGACTCCTGAACTGCTTTTTTGTAGCCCCTTCTGTATACCTATCTCTAATCACAATTTCTGGAAATTGCTGGCATGGTTTTCAATTATTTTGAGATGGGAAAGAATCAGAAGGTGTAGTGCAAGCCCTGAATTGAGTGTAAGATAGTTAAATATTATTTAAAATAATAATTATAACATTCTCTATCCCATTCCCCACAACCTCTCCCAGGAAATTCTGATCCCATCCACAAAAAAAAATATTCTAGCCTGTACTAAATAACTACAAAGATTGGTTAGGTCTTCCCACACGTGTTCTTTACAAAAAAGCAAGTGCACCAGAATTGCTTGGATGGAGATCCCTGACCTTTTTCTGATGCTAATGACCATTATTTGGTACACTAGAAGGAATTAGGTTTCCCTCTGCAGAATTCTGGATGAGTTTATTACAGAGGTGGAATCAGCATGCTTTGCATGTAGAAGCAGCTACAAACAGGATAAGGCACAATTGGCTAATTAAATGTTCTGGAGATATTTTGGTCTACAACATGTTTTAGCCTTAGCCTCACTGGTTGCATTCTTTATTCAGGTTATAATTGGTAGTGTGGTAAAAACAGGTCACACATTCAGTGTAGCTGTAGCATGGAGAAAGCAACTATTCTTTTTCTATTGCTGAGAGACAATGATTGGGTGATTAAGAATCCATATATATAAATATAAACTCTGACTACAATAAATCACAGTAAATCCAGAATGTCAAATATCAAATTGATGTTTAAAATAAAGTCATGACATTTAAAATGAACCAACCAAATAATTAGGCAGTCCATTGCTAGTCACTTCTGGTTTCAAACAGAAGCACTCTCTTTAAGAATGCAATCTTCTTTCTTCAAATGTATATATAAGAAATTTGGGATCCTGAAAATGTTAGTAAAAATACAAACAGTATTCAGATTTAGTATCTGAAGGTCAGCTACTTCTCAGCCATGATGTTTATAATCCTTAATAATCATATGAAGCTTTGCTGCTGTATATACAGACTATTGGAATTTAAGATTCTTAAGAGGAATGTTCTGCATGCAAAGAATGTTCTACTACGACCAACTAATAGCTTGTCCTGCAAATCAAGATATTTTTTCCTGTCCTCTGCAGCCATTAACACAGCAGTGTGGATTCTGACAGTAGAAACCATTGGTGTCAGATAGCATCAGAATTTTGGAATTGTTCAGTTCTTTGTTTTCTCGTCAGTTTGCATACCATATAGCCCTATGTCACAACTTTTCTATAGTCCTTGACTTAGCGACCACAAATAGGACCAGAATTTCCATTGTTAAGAAGGGCAGTTTTTGAGTGAGTTGTGCCTGATTTTACAACTTTTTTTTAAAAAAAAATAATTTATATGCCGCCCTTCTCCGGAGACTCAGGGCGGCTTACAATGCCACAGTTTTTTGCCACAGTCATTTAAGCAGATTACTGCAGTTGTTAAATGAGTTTGACTTCTCCCCTTGACTTTGTTGGAAGCCAGCTGGGAAGATTGCAAAGGACAATCACAAGACCCTGGGATACTGCAACCATCATAAATACATGCTGGTTGCCAAGCACCCAAATTTTGATCATGTGACTGTTGGAATGTTGCAATAGTTGTAAGTGAAAGGAAGAAGAGAAGAGAAGAGAAGAATTGGAATGGACTTTGGAGGTCTTTTAGTCCAACCCCTTACTTAGGCAGGAAACTCTATACCATTTCCAATCCAATCTCTTCTTTAAAATTTCCAGTCTTTTCTCAGTGCCATTGTAACTTCAAACAGTTGTTAAAATAAATGGTTGTAAGCGGAGGATTGCCTGTACAATTATCCTTTTTCTGTCTTACTCATTAAGATGATTTTCTTGAGGGTGGGACCGTTTGAGAGTGAAGAAATCTAGCTGTGGTTTCCCTTAAGAGTCAGGCTGCTTCTTCTGGTGTTCTTTTGATTTTTCTTCTCCCTTTCTGATGTCCATCTACTTTCCTAACCTTTCTTTTCTAGTGTTTGTCAGTTGAAAGGGCGGAAAGATCCTAGTCTAACTATCCTACAAACTGGCAAAAAGGTGATGTTTGTGCTACCATTGTTCCTTTGAATGGATCTGGGAAAACTGAGAGGATGTACACTTTTCCAAATTTCCTTCAAAGTATGGTTATAGTACCATTGTCTCTAAAACTTCAGCAGAGGATGAAAGTTTCAGGGTATATCTATCATTTACATTCTGCTTTGGCCATTCAGGACAATGGATAGACGGCTCATGAAAAGTGAATCAGTAGTATGGTGGGTGGATAATAGATGAAACCTCTTAGGCCATGGTACCTCCTCACACCATTCCAAACTAACATGCAAACCAAAAAAATATAAAGTAAGGCACTTGGGATTTATGCTTGGTGGGTATCCATACACAGATTTGTTTTGTGTTTTTGAGAGTAGTGAGATTTCTTTTGAGCACAGCCCCAAAGTTGCAGCTATCAAAATGCAGCATTAAAATAGATGAAATGTTCACCTTTCAATAAAGTGCATAATTCTGCATAAATAAGTAGTTAGGTTTAGGGTCTTTCCCCACCCCTGAAGTGCTTTCCACAGCTTTTGGGGACTATACCAGCATGAAATTTGCTATCCAATTGCCCATCCTTATCCAACCTGTATTGCCTTTGCTTCAAGTCATTTTGGTCATCCGACTTTCCCCTAAAGTAATAGGTAATACAGTAAGTCTATCAGATTGTACATGCGTTGAGCTGCACCTAAAGTCAAAATAAGTAGGGAAGTACTATTTTAACACTGGTACAGCTAAACATGACTGAAAAAGTTTTACACATTGGCTGGGGATGAGATGAAGGTAATGCCTTGCAATAAATGGTCAAGACATGTTTGCACTATAGTTAAATGCAAGTGGAGAAAGGCACTAAGATCCCAGCTGAGCTGATGATCCTACATTGGAGGTCAGATTTTTGATTATTCTGCTAAGATTGGCTATTTTTTCTTCTAGCAGATAGTTCTTCTTCTCCTCCATCTTCTGCCTCCGTTCTGTCATCTCCAGAGCTTTTAGCAGCTGAGCATTTTCAACATAGAGATCCTTCACCATTTCATCAGCTTTTGTGTTTCTTACAAACTGAAACATAGTTAAGAAATGGTACATTTGTTCCACATAGAGGACAAAACAAAGAAATAAATTATGCACTCTAGTTGTAGCTGAATTCAGTATTACTTTTTAAGCTGTCTCTATACAGCAGGGGTGTCAAAGTCACGGCCCGTGGGCCACATGCATCACGTGCTGGCCATGCCCACTACCAGTTTTAGTGAAGGGGAAAAAAGTTGAAATATGTCACGTGATGTGTCGTCGTGAGTTTGACACCCCTACTGTAAAGAGTCTTAGTCATCATTTTGAATATTGTCTAAATACATTTAGTAGACAAATGGTAAATAATAATAATACCAAAATATCTGAAAAGCATTTTGATACAATGGGAATGGGTAGAATCTGAATTTACCAGTAATAAATAGTTGCATTAATCTAAATAGTTTAGTCTAGTGCTTAGGACCAGGCTAGAAACTGGGAGAACATGAGTTCTAATTCCGCCTTAGCCATGAAAGCCATTTAGGTGACAATGGGCCAGTCATTTTCATTCAGCTCAACTCACGTTACAGAATTGTTATTGTGAGGAAAATAGGAGGAGGAAAACATATTAAATATGTTTGCCACCTTGAGTTGATGGCATATAAATAAAACAAATTCACAAAATTAATTATATTTTAATTATCCTAGATCCTTGGGAAGGATCCAATAGTCAAAAGTACCAAACTCAGTCAAAAATGTTGGATGGATTACGTGTAAATAACAATAATGCTTTAGCTACTATTTTCTCCCCATAAAGCCATGTCTAAGTATTGATACAAGTGTGTGCCATCTAGAATAAATTGCCAACAATTGATCATTCAGCACAATTAGATTGAAATAATTTGGGACTCATCCACTATGAAGCCTATTTATATCTACATAGGATTGGGATGAGGTATTTTGACATCAACCCAAAAATTCTGCAGTTACACAATATAGTAAACCATGGTTTGCATAACCCCAGTTTATTATCTAAACCACAACTGCCTGCTTTTTTCAAATCATGCTAAGATAAGGATGCATTACTTTGTTGAGCCCGAGGGGTAGATTTGATCATCTGATTAGCACATGTGGTGACTATATTCCAAAGAGTAGTAAATGAAGCCAGGACAAAACCACACTTGATTTCGTTTTGTTAAAAAGTGTTTTTGTCTGATTCAAATTACTATTTATAACAATTTTTGGAAGCTCTAGGGAAGAGAGCTTTGAGGTTTCAGAATCTGTCAGGAAAAATATGCATCTGTATGCTTGGCCATACATTGATTTACAAACCATAGTGCTAGCTGGTTTCCAACAACACATTGCCAAATCTTATGGTTTACTGTGAACCCAGCCTTAGATTGTCATGTTACCTCAAACCTTGTATAAGGAATCCTCAGGTATCAACTACCGCACATTGACTTAGAAACCACTTAGAATTCTCACCTGTTCTTTCAGCTGATTGACTTTATCTTGGAGAAGCTGTTTCACAAGCCTCAATTGTTGTTCAACATCCATCATGCGTTTCTCCATAGTCTGTAGTAGCTGCTCATATCCACCCTGTAATGGAGCATGTGTGCATGAAATCAAAATTACAGTACTCTGAAGATCTTGGTGATTGGCTGTTCTTTTTTCAACATAAGCTTTACAGGGGAGAAAAAAAATTGAAAACAAAAGACTGAGAAATAGTTGGGTTATTTGTACAGATAAAAATGATATTCTGAAAGCAAAGCAAGCCAAAGACACAGACTTTTTATGTACATGTGATTCTCTATTTCAAATTTGCTTAGTTATTTATTAGATTTGATACAATCAAAAAAACTCTTGGCAGCTGACAAGATCGCTGTATATTAAAATGTCCACAATATAATATTAATGGGAAAACCCTATATATAGAATATAAATACAATACATATAAAAATCTACTAAAAACAGTGTTTAAGATTAAAGCAGATGGTTGCAATCACTGCATTGATCTGGCTTTCCCCAGAACAGGAATGTTGCAATACAGTAGTTATCAAATATATTCAGATCCAAGAAAAATGTTTAAAGGAATGGGCAGATTCCAGCTTCTTTCAAGATGGATATGATCCATGCACACAAGGGAACGGCACAAAACTGAGCAGCAGGAGGGTTTTCCATAGAACTGAATGTGTGAAGGCTTTACAAATAATTCTTCGTGCTACCATTTTTCCAGGATGTACCAATCACGTGCTCTACTTTTCATTGTGTAATGAAATGATCTGGGAGAGATGTTGAGAATCTGAAGATGAAACTAAAAAAGCTTAAAAGCCCAATTGGATCAGCCCAAAGTCTACTTCATCAGCATCTCAGTGAATCATAGATGGATAATAGATGAAACCTCTTAAACCATGGTACCCCTTCAAACTTAAAGGTAGTAGCTATTTCCAGTTGTCTATCTTGTTCCAGAGCTAAAAATGGTATCCAGGGCTAAAGTCTCTTAAATTAAGCTTGACTCTGCTGATTTAAAGTTTTCTTGTCAACAGTATGTGGATGATTTGCTGCTGCGCTTTCCTGACTTCATTCATTCATTCATTCATTTATTGGTTCAATTTATTTGCCGCCCTTCTCCGGAGACTCAGGGCGGCTCACAATGCGTTAAGCGATAGCCTTCATACTTTTGTATATACCTGCTTAGTAGGGCTTTCGGCCCCCCCTAAGCGGTGTTCTTTTTATACAAAGTCAGTTTATTGCTCCCACAATCTGGGTCCTCATGGTCAAGTCTATACCCTTATATTTCCTGGTAGCCTCCCATACAAGTAGTATTAAATCTAACATTGTTTGGCTTTCCAGGAGCAACCACAGTTAAATAGGTGCTGTCAAAACTACACTGCTTCTAGAGATGTAGGGTGTGTGTTACTTGTCAGTTCCTAGAAATTAAAAACTCACAAGGAGTTAGGTCCAGATATAATAAAAAACGTGTGCAATATATTAAATTTGGAGAAGAGTTAAGTTTCAGAGGGTTTTTTTTGTAGTTTAGGTTATTGTGCAAACCCATCCTGCTTTGGTCAGGTTGAAGTATTTTGTGAAATCAGAGTACAGTGTTCACTATTCATATCAGATGTGTTGTGGAAACATATCCAAGGGTCATCTTAATTATATGGACACCATACCCTTCAAAGTCTTTGCAGAAACTGGGGGAGCGGAAGCAATTGTACTGTTGTTTTTAGATGGGCTGAACAATTTCCATTAGTTTGATAGGTAAATCCTTCAACTTTCTACTTAAAGCAACAATCTTCTTTCATTGATTTATGGAGAGTTGTGTTGGCCGGAAGGGTCTCCAGTCTGTCATGTGAAATTAAACACTTTTCTAATAGCAACTTCGTTTGAAATGAAAAGCTTTAGCAGAATTGGAAAGGAATTAATTTCAAGTAGCAGCTTGGGGTCTTGTGCTGCATTCACACACAATACATTAGAACCAAACTAGCTAACCATATTTTAATTTAGCATATTATGTAAAACCAGCCATTGTGGTTAGTTTATAGATTCAATAGGCCACAATTGAGTCTCAACTATGTTTTACTTAGCCATATTATGTGAACATAGTTCCTCTCTTGGCAGTAGGTGTAGTCATGAGATAGCCCCCAGACCTCACAAAGGAATTAGCACTCCTAGAGGCCATTGCATAATTTGAAACAATTTTTTTCATCAAAAGTGCATCATTTGGTAAAAAAACCCATTTAATTGATTCCAAACTAAGTTGGCAGACTCTTCCATTTTTCATCAAACAAAACAGAAATAAAACAACATAAATTTTGGTGATGAGCTGGATCAGTAATTCTTTCCAGCATAAACTAAAAACAAAGCTCATCTAAAACTATTTATATTTATCTAAAAACCTGCTGGATTAGGCACAAGGCTCCATTATAGCAGTCAGCTAAATCTCTGGAAAGAATCTCCAGAGTGTCTCAAAGCAACTGGCTCTCTTGACTCCTTATTCACCAGCAATTGGTATTGTGAGGGGAAAATAATAGGGACCCCCTTCTAGCACAGTAAAGTTTGGGGGCCTGAGATGGGTTCAATATTGACATAAATTGCCTGATGCAAGTATAAAGAAAAATTTGTAACCAGCCTATACATCTGATGTAATGGTAGCTGACATGGACACCGTAGTTTCCTATATGCCGAAATAAGGGGTGGGGGGCTGAGGCTGTGGGAAAAGAGGAAGTGTATGCTTAAAGTACATGTACAAATAGCCATGTTGTAACATTGAGGCTAAAGGAATGGAGCACTGCCCGTTGCTATGACAGTATGGACAGATTCCGAAAATCAAGTGTGTTGTGGTTTTAAGGTATAAAAGACAAAGCTGAATAATGGGAGGTTGCCAATCGGCCTCAAGCCGTCCCTTTTGACTGCTTGTCCTATTGACCTTCATTGCAATGTGATGAAAGTGCCTACAGCAAAGGCTTTATGTTTGCTATGCTTTAAATTCTAATAAACCTCTGAATCCTAAAGTGAGACTTTTGTGATGTGCTGTCTGTTCAATTGTTATTAAGTGAGCTATGCTCATAATCAGGTTTTTCCCCTGATAGTTTTCAGATACCAGTATGTAGTGCTTATGGTTCTGAAGGTGCATATAGACTTATTCTGCATTAAATTTTCCAATCCTTTTTTTTCTTCAATTGTGTCCAATTCTCAGAGACTGCCTTGACAAGTCCTTGCAGTTTTCTTGGCAAGGTTTTTCAGAAGTGGCTTGCCATTGCCTCCTTCCTAGGACTGAAAGTTAGTGACCAGCCTAAGTAGTTTCGTGCCTAAGGCAGGAATACAATTCTATCTCCAGGTTTCTAGCATTAACCACTACACCAAACTGCTCTCAATCCTCTTTTAAAACATCCAAATTAGTGGCTCCTGTTCTATTAATAATTTTGATTTAATTGATAATTTTGGTTAGTCTTTCTGCATCCTTTCCAGAAATATTATACATTTGGTGAGATGTGGCAGCTCTCCCCTCACAATATTCCAAGTGAAATCACACCCCAGATTTTGTACAAACATTCTAAAAGAGTATGGATGTCATAACATAAATTATTTTTTCAGATGCTTTTCCAGCATATCCTAAAATGTATTTATTCTTTGTATAAACACCAAGAGTCAATGTTTTAATTCAACAATCCATATTCACATCACAATTTCTTTTCGTTGCTATGTATTATGTAGTTGTGTATGTAGATAGGATTTGTGCCCCAATTTTCTAAATTTTGTAATTAAATTTCAGTGTTTATTCCATTATGAAGAAATCCTTTTGAATTTTTTTGCGATCAGTTTTTGTTATTGTAATAGGGAATAATTTGTTGTCATGAATAAATTTGCCTATAACAAATTGATAACTGTCTCATATGAATATCTCAAATTGTTAGGCTTTTCTAAGATTTTATTATTGTCATATCTTACTAGGATCCAATCCAATTCTGCCATGAATAAAGATTATTACAGATCTTCATTTCATTCCTACTACTGGTATTGGATTAAAAATTACAATCTTTTAGCCTAGCTGCTTTATTTTGTTACCGTTGAATTTATCCTCAAAGATACAGTTCCTTCAGCTGAATCAGAGTCCATTGGTTGGTTCTTTATTTGAAGGTTTTATTAAGAAACCTTTTAAGAAACCTATTAAGAAAACAGTTATTTGAGAGACCACCTCTCCCCAATCACATCTATCCATCCCATCAGATATGGCAGGAATGTTGCAGTTTCCATCCAAGGGATCCATCTGATGGGACCCAGGAGGAGAGTCTTTTCTGCTGTGGCGCCTATTCTTTGCAGTATCATTCTCTCCAATGTCAGATTTACGTCATCTTCTGGAAGGGCCTAAAATCATGGCTTTTGTCATCTGGGATCTGGTAACATAGTTATGCAACCCAAAAAGTGGTTGTCTTGCTAGGGAAACTAGTACACTTTTCTTGCAGATTGTTTTTAAATAGTTTGAGAGAGGGAGAGGGAGAGGGAGGGAGGGAGAGAGAGAGAGACTAGCATTGTTGATACTAATTGCAATCAGGGTTTCAGACTGGAGTATTCTACTCATAACTATAGATGCTAGATAAAACATGGGACTTTCTGCATATAGAATATGTGCTGTATCACTGAACTTTAGTTTTGCCTTAATTCAGTGTTTTCCAGACTTGGCAGTTCTCTGATGTGTGACTTTGTCTCTCGGAAATTACTAAAATGACTATTACTAAGAATTCTGGGAACTAAAATAGGCACATCTGGAAGTTGCCAAGGGAAGAAAATATTGCCTTAATTGAACTTCCATGGCAAAATGACTCAGCCTAATAAATACTCCAGCTTCATCAAGGAATGCATCCAAAAACCCTATTAATTAGTAAGACAAAAAGACAAGGAGATATTTAAAAATGTGTATTTTATTTATCCAGTTACAAGCCCCAAAGTTTTGCTCTTTCCTTGTTTAAAAAGTATTTATACATCTTGTACAAAATTTTGTATAAATAACTCAAAATTTCTTCTCCAAATCCAATATATAAAAAATTTAGTACCATTTTGTTTAAAAAATACTTACAGTATACAATTGATGGGGGAAAATAAGTTTTTCTCTTTCCAAACTCCTCTGGTTAAGCCATTTTTAAATAGCATAAATAACGAAATTGACTTATAACAAAATTAAAACATTTAAAATAAAAAAGAGGTGATTCTTTCTCTCCCCATTCTCCCTCATAAAAATAGATTCTGACACAAATAAATAAAGGATGGGGAAAAATACAAGACAGTTTTTTTTTTTTTTTTTAAAAAGATGATTTTAAATTAACAACAAATGCAATTTAATCCCTGGGTTTCTCAGCTTATGCCAGTTAGTGTGAATAAGGAATGCGGTGCGTTAGAAGCCAAGGGGTGTCAGAGATGACCAATCCGCCTGTACGTATCTGCATGCAATGATCGTTGCTCCGGAAGCAAAGCCTGGGGAAAGAAGGCAAGGAGGACACACTTGACCCGCAGGCCTTTGAAAACAACACATCACACTTAAGCAGCACAAACACTCAGTGCCATTTAAGCATCACATCAAGACAAACAAACACAAGAACTGCAAGGGGCTGTGAGATTAACTTTGAGGAACTGATCAAGAAGAGCCATGGTGGCGCAATGGTTAGAAGGCAGAATTGCAGGCTAACTCTGACGACTGCCAGCAGTTCGATTCTCACTAGCTCAAGGTTAACTCAGCCTTCCATCCTTCCGAGGTTGGTAAAATGAGGACCCAGATTGTTGGGGACAATATGCTGATTCTGTAAACCGCTTAGAGAGGGCTGAAAAGCACCATGAAGTGGTATATAAGCCTAAGTGCTATTGCTATCAGATAAAAGAAATTGAGTCCAAAGCAGAAATGTAGTTTGAGAAAACATGTCAAACTTGATCCTCCCTAATTCTTTTATGAATAAGATGGATGTCAGCCCTTCAAGTAAGACCAGACTAGGAAACAAAAATTATGAATTCTATTACTTTTATTATACTGTTGCCTTAGCAGCCTCTTGCAAGTCTGAAAGCACCTCCCCACTCCCTGCCTTTACCCATAAGAGAACTTGGGGGGTCAAGTCTTAATTGTTTTCTCAAATTATATTTCTGCTTTGAACTCAAGTTTCTTTTATCTGACCATTGTCTTGGTTGCCGGCTCTTCCTTTTGTTCCTCAAAATTATTCTCACTGCCCATTGCAAAAACAAGGAAATCACACATACCCACATAGGTCATGCATTGCAGACAGTAGGTCTTTAAAAAGAGCAAACACCATACAGCCAATGACTCTTATTTTCTGACATTGGGGTGAGGTTCATTGCCAATTCTAAGCCTCAAGCTAATACATCTCTTCCTCTCTTTGCATGATCACCCCATTTCTTATTTAGGTCAGCCGTCATTTATTGTTACATCCAAACAGATCATGCCTATCATTTACACATGTTGTAGTTTGCCCGCACTGCAAAACTAGAAACCCATTCAAACCTTGCTTTTCAGTTAAGGTTTAGAGGAAAATGTTAACCAAAGTATCTTATTTTAGATATAATAGTCATAATGGTTAATCTAAAAGATGGAATCAGGCAGAGAAAGGGAGGAAGAGGAGGAAGATGCAGCATAAATCTCAGATGAAATTCAACATTTCAGTGTCAGCTATATGTTAAGCAAAAAGCACTTATCCTACCTTCCAGTATTTCATACATAGAAGCTAGAATAGAGTTATATATTGACAATTATCATATATCAGAATTATTGCTGGATCCTCCATTTCTATTATTACATTTTATCTATGGTTACTTAATTTTAAGCCACGGATTAGTAGTGATATGCATTTTTATAACTAAATGGTACAATAAGCAGAATACAAGGAAGCCCCCGGTCCATTTTCTAGAATTGGATGTGAGGGAGAAACTTGTGGCCATATAAATGTTACTAAAAAATAATTCACATTTTGAATTATGGCAGGCTTGCTGGGGTCAGATTAGAATTGGAGTTCAATGTCTGAATGGCTACTGATTGTCAGAATTTTTCATTATAAAGGTGTAATCATTTTGGTGCAGAGATACTTTGCAAAATGAAGTGTTATCTTATGCAGATTGTCCTCATATTAAATGATTGCCATGTTCAACTGAGAATTATCAACAGCTTAGATTGCTACTGAATTGTGCTGTACAGGTAATCCAATAAAAGATTTTGCTCTTCTAATTCTGTTAAAACTGCTATCTTACTATGTTCACTTTTAGGAACTGCAAACTGGAGCTTGTATAGAAGGATGCTACTAAGATGGTCGGTCCTTCAAAGAATGTTGAAAAGAACTGGCTATGTTTAGTTTGCAATAGACAGACTCAAAGGAGATATGGTAGGACTCTTCAGATATTCATATAAAGAAAGGAGTGGGCATGATCTCTGTCACTGATAGTAGGGCAAGAAAAACCAATGAGTTGAAACCACAGAGGTGTAAATTCAAACCTGGTACTAGGAGAATTTTTTTTGAGGGCATGACTGTCAACCAATAGAATAAGCTGCATCATAAGTGGCATCTTTCCCTTCCCCAGAGGTCTCCTAACTGATATTAGATAGCCATTTGTCCAAAGAAAGCATGTTGTGATGCAATATATGGAAAGATTATATCTGTTGCACTAGAAATTTGAAACTGGCATAAACAGAGAAAGGGACATGAAGAAAAAGTGAAGTGGTAGATGACTAATCTACATTCAGTGAAGAAGAAACTGACTGTAACATACCTGGGGCATGTTCGTTTCCAAGGGCCGATTCTCAAGCTCCTCCTGCAGGCGTTGACACCTCCTCTCTGCCTGAAGGAACTGGTGCTGGAGCTGCTGGTATTGTTCGGATGGGACAACAGGACATCCTTGCTGCTGGATCTCCTGTAGTTCTCGAGGGTGCTGGGGTGGGCTAAGCATCATGCTGGAGTTTGAGTGAAGTAGCTGCATCAGAGAAGATGGGTAGGAAAATATAAAAGAGATGCCTTGCAGTCTAGACCAAGAACCCCTTCTCATCATCTGAGCATCAAGATCAGTCAGGAAGAATGCAAAGGTGGACTCCCAGTAACTGGTCTAACATTCCATTTAGATTGTGTGTGCAAATTTAAACCATACAAATTTAATCTACTGCACGCTGTCACAGCCCATGCAGTAAGATTTTTTTGGGAGTGGGGGCAAAGGAGTCGATGAAGGAGAGGGAGAGAAAAGGAGTGGGGATAAGGGAGAAGTAAGTTTTCTCATCGGAGATCTAGGCCAAAATAAAACCCTTCAACCACCTTCTGCCATGCTCCAGACCAAAGGAGGAATGGAGTTGTGGGAAAGAAAACGAAAAAGCTTGCTGGTATGGAGAGATACCATATTGCTAATCATGGGCTTGTGCCCCTCTTTCCCCTCTATTTAAATCTACCACTAGCACAACACTTTGCAACAGATAGTTCCATACTAGGCCCATTCCTCCCCCCATCCACCCACACATTAGGTTGCTACTTTAAGGCACTTTATCCAATCAGGTCCCTTCCAGAAGTATTGTACTAGAGCTGCCATCAGCCAGACAGTATCGGTCAAGTTGACTGGGGATGATGGGTTTCAGCTGAACACATTTAGTATTTAGTTAGGGAAGTCTCTCTTTAGGAGAAGCAACCTCTTTGGAAGAACCTCAGAACATGCATCTTCCTGTACAATTTTTGCTTCACGAAGTCTGTAGATTGCAAAAAAAAGAGAATATGGCCTTTGACAGGAGTAAAGTACTTATCTAATGCTGTTCTATTAAATGAAGGTTTGCTGTGTACATTCGTGCTTCATAAGATAATGCCACAATTTGGGGCTAAGGCCAAAAAGGCACTTTGAAGTGGTAGGGACACACATTTGGTGCCTCTTGAACTTCAATACATTTTCTCCCAGATTCACAAAGTGAGCTCAAGGAAAAGTGTTGTTTCCTTAAGGAATTCCTTGAGATGTTCACAATGTTGGGAATGGTAAAAAGAAAGACAAGAGGAGCAGAGAGAGACAGAGACAATGGCTGCACCGCTGGGAGACCTGAAGGGCCGGTTGGGGCAGATCATTCTGAAGGCGGCCTTCTGTGTGGTTGCTCAGCCTCAGCCCCAACACTGACTTGATGGCATAGAAACAATCAGTCTTTAGGAGGCACCAATAGAGCTGGTGTGCACATCCATATTCCTGCAAAGAACATTGTTGGCTCTGGATCTGAAGCACCACATACCCCTAAAGATTTATTTTAATATAAATAGAATGTGTAACATGTTTATTATTTCTTCTAACTTATTGAGCTGAGAAAATAAATTTATGTTGAAGACATCCACAGTAAATTCATAAGGGAACAAAAACACCTTTCCAGTTCTGTGTTATCCCCAACTCAGACATTACCAAGACTAAAAGCAGTTGACCCTAGGATGTAGCTTAAAAATAATTGATTGCCAAATGTTATTAAGAATTCACCTCCCAGTCCTCACTCCCCAGATTAGATTGCAATTGAATATATCTTTACCTTGGAATTAATAGTATTAAACTCAGCAGGCCTTCTGAAGAGAAAACTAGGATTACATTGTTGACAGCAGTTCTAGTTGGAGATTTTTCTCATTATAAAACCAACCATACAATTTGCTAATTACAAACTCAAAAGTAATCCTTTTATGCTGTGAGCTCTATAGGGAGCTGCAGTTGTAAAGCTACACAGCAATATAATGAAAATAGCTTTTAAAGTGGTAGTGAATTACAATATTAGAATTTTGAACAATGTGGGAAACCTTTTGATATGCTATTTATTTGTTAGAATATTTTACTAGCTTTTGTCCTGAAATATCAGAACCAGCTTATGGTACAGTTTTATACACTTTTATGTAACTAATATGATGTTCTTTGGTTCAGCTGCAACTTCCAGAATTCCCAGACAAAGTTCCCAATCTTTAAGTGTTGTATTCCAACACATTTGGAAATCACCAGGTTGGTTGAGGTTGCATTTGAACTATTACAAAAAATAATACAAATCAATATTTGTTGAAATTCAAATATGAAGCAGCAGATAAGACATTTATACTGTGCTTAATCATAGCTTCAGGGGTGAAATCCAGCAGGTTCTGACAGGTTCTAGACAACCAGTAGCGGAAATTTTGAGCAATTCGGAGAACCGGCAAATACCACCTCTGTCTGGCCCCAAAGTGGGGTGGGAATGGAGATTTTGCAATATCCTTCCCCCAGGAGTGGGAATGGAATGGGGATTTTGCAGTATCCTTCTCCCACGCCCACCAAGCCACGCCCATAGAACCGGTAGTAAAAAAAAATTGGATTTCACCACTGCATGGCTTCCAGGTCTGACAAAGGTTCTGTGATGATACCTTTGGAAAAATCACCTGCATTTACTTCTTACCTGAATTATATAAACAATCTTTTATATGTCTTTTTGGTGATGGTAGAATGGAGGACTAATGAAGTGGAAAGGGCATGTGCAACTGTTTTCTTGCATGCACATCCAGTTCACATGCTCTGAACTTTGTGGAAAACCATACAAGCTATCAACCACCATAATCATCATCAGCACAACATTCATGGGAAATTTAGCTGCAGCTCAAAATGTAATACAAATTGGAGAACAATTTTGTAATCACAACTAGCTTACAAAGAGCATTTTCCCTGAGCGTATGGCTCACGGCTGTACAAAGTAAAGAAACATAGGGGAAATTATATAGTTTGGAGATCATCAAAGATCAGTAAACTGGCCATGCAAATGTCAATCTCACTATTCCACTAAGGACATGCAATCGGGAAACCATGGAAGGAAAAAGGTATCTCACGAAATAAACAATCCATCCCACAATTAACAAATAATAGGGAAAAAGAAAAAGAAAATGGAATCTCAGAGCCACTTTTCATTTTTTTCCCTGAAGTTTGATTTTGTATTAAGCATCCTGTCTCATATTCTTGGAAAGTGCAGATTTTAAAGATAAGTCCTCTTTCTTCCTGAAACTAGAGAAATTATTTGCCTATTACCCTATGATGCTTGAGCAAGACCATTAATATTTCCATTAAAATGAAGAGTAGCTCCTTCAAATGAGACAGGTTATTGCCTTAATGCTCAGGACCAAGTCTGTAACAAATGAAAGGAAAGATGAGATGGCAGGTACTAGGTAATGTCATTTATTTTCTCTCCATGCAGTGGGATTACAGAAGAAAAGAGTTGGTTCTACCTTCACACGTTAAGTCAGGCAGAGCACTGCATTCGTCTCTGCTAGTTCCAGCCACCAAGGTCTAGGCATAGGTTAGCCAGAAAGGAAGAAGAAAAAAACATAAGGTGGAGAGACAATTATGGGAATCAAAGGGCAAAAAGGGCCAAATGAAACTTGCACAGAAAAAGAGTAATAAAACACAAAAAAACCAAGGACTTTTTCAGAGAAACAGAAAAGAGCTGCTGGTAGGACGTGTAATTGGAGACTCTCTTTTGAGTCTATTCTCTTTAAGAGAATATAGGCTGGGCTACGTGCATCCTGCACATTTGATATGCACAGAACTCAGCTTCTTAAGAGATTTGGTTTGAGTTAAAAGTAAGAACAGGTTTCAATATCTTATGGCTGATGTTTGAACATGTGAAGAGGTGTCCAATTAAATGTCAGAAGCAAAGGGTGGGTGGGAGCTGAATCAATATTTCACTTTTCTAGTAGTCAGAGTAGCAATGGATTGGATGGACTTCCAAACCTTGGACGACTGTTTGCCGTACATACAGTAACTTGTAGAATCAGAATAAATTGGGCAAAATGTTTCTTTTCTGAATTCATTTGGATCACAAAGTTTAATGAAACTATTTTATGTTGAACCTGACTTTCCAAACACCATTTCTCCTCCCCCAGTGGCTCCCTTTTCCACAAAAATATTGATTTATTACATTTATATCCTTCTAAACTCAAAGTGGCTTATTTTAAGATCTCCTATAATTTTATTATTTCAATCACTCTGAGGTAGTAAGGTTTAGAAGGTATATAAAAAAAGCAGTCCCTGCGGATTTTACTCTGCTAGTCATTGCAGATTATAGGGGCGGTGCTTGTCCCTGTTTCAAGGCATTGAGCCAGCACTGTCTGAAGATATTTCTGTGGTCATGTGGCCAGCATGACATCATGGAGTGGCGTTAATTTCCCACTGAAGTGATACCTATTTATCTACTCGCATTTACATGCTTTCAAACTGCTAGGTTGGCAGGAGCTGGGACAAGAACAGGAGCTTACCCTGTCGGGTGCACTCAGGTCTTGAGCCTGGGCTGCTGGCTTTCTAGACAACAACCCTAGTTTCTTAACTGCTGAGCCACCATGCCACCCTAATTATATTTAGAAGGTATAATAAATAGCTCAAAATCACTCAATATAACCCACAAGCCAACAGGAATTGAAATCTGCTTTCAGTTATGCTCACATCTCTTATGGCAAAATCTACATCAGTGAAAACTGCAAGGTCAGTCTCACTCAAGGCTGAGAAGATTCTGTTCCTTTGCTGAGTGTCAATTCCTAAATCAAGATAAGTTCAGCTAATTCTTCTGCCATTTTGGAAATCTCTGTTGGACTAACCCAAGGATTTTACTATCATTTTAGGGGGGAAAAAGTGGCATGATTTATTTAGTTTTAATTCTGCCAACCAAAGAAAACAAAACATACCTGCAGATATAGTCAGCATGTAACCAAATAGATCTTTTCTAATAGTCAGTAGTCAGTATAGTCCAACAGAGAGGTTATTTAGCAAATTGTCTAGAACTTCATTATAATCCTTAGCGTTGCAAGGTTTATAGGGATAGGAATGAAATATTGTTTATAAAGCTTCCATCCTTCCAATAGGAGATCACTGGCACATACAGGAATTGAGAATATAAGATCCCCAGCTAAAACAGGTCAAAAGTTTGCATGGTCTAGATTTTATAATCTTTCATATGTTGCTTTGGTGAAAAGAAATTAACCTCCTTAATCTAAAGTATAATAATCATTTTGCCAACATTCCCTGATCTCCAAGAAATGAACAAGAAGGATATGGCAGCAGTATCCTTCTCTTGCTTCTGACCTTCTATAGCAGTGATGGCTAACCTTTTTGCCATTGCGTGCCAGGAAGGGGGGTGGTGGGGAAAGTTCACGTGCGTGTGTGCCCACACCCATAATTCTATGTGCCCCGTCCCACCCCCGCTTCTGGCACGCGATGGCCCAGTAGGCCTGTTTTTCTTTCTCACCTGGCTCCAGATCCTCTCTATGCATCTGGGGAGGGCGAAAACAGCCTTCCCCACCCCCTCAGAGGTCCTCCGGAGGCCCAAAAGGGCCCGTTTTCCAACTTTCGGTTAGACAGGAAGTGACTTTTTTGCTGTCCCCAGCCTCCAGAGTCTCCTAGAGAGGCTGAGAGCTGAGCCAGCGTGCCAGGCAACATGGTTCTGTGTGCCACCTGTGGCACGCGTGCCATAGGTTTGCCATCACGGTTCTATAGCAACCAGTATAGATGGATTTTGATCATAAAGTTATCTTCTGTCATGGCTGGTAGCAGTTGCTTGATGGTCTACAGCCAACTGTCTACATAGTGATAAACAGCCATTTGGTTGGTTATGGCAGAGACTGCAGCTAATTGGCCAGCTATAAAAACAATTACAAGGAATAGTTGCTTGTGTTTTTGGAACATAGGAAATAGTCTGAAACTATCCATATGTTCCAAAGAAGTGCACTGTAAAAATAAATGGAACCAACAAACTGTTTATAATTTGGCAGATTTTGAAAGATGGAATAAAACTAAGTGATAAATTCAAAGTTTAAAATAATTGTGCAAAATGAAAAGTGTATTTTCTAGGCCAGCCTCCCCACACACCTAAAACTGATCTTGCTGGCCAAACTCCTTCTGTAGCCATTCACGTTCAGCTTCTCTTGCTCAGTGAATAACTGGCTTTGGTGTTTCTGCTGCTTGATGGTTGAAATAGTACAGGGGTGTCAAATTCAAGGCCCACAGGCCGGATCCAGCCCGTGGGGTCCTTAGATCTGGCCTGCAGGGCCACCCTGGAAACAGAGAAGGACCGGCCCACGGTTCCTCTGCCAGCGAAAACAGAGCTCAGGAGGGCTACACACAGACCTCCCAAGCTCCATTTTCGCTGGCAGAGGGTTGCAGGAGGACGTTGCTGCTGAAAACGGAGCTCGGGAGCCTGTCTTTGCTGGCAGAGCACCTGGGCCACCACAGGCCCCCCCGACATGAGTGACGCCTGATGCCCACTCTAGCCACGCCCACTCACCCTCCTGAGATCAAATACAACCCTGATGTGGCCTTCAATGAAATTGAGTTTGACACCCCTGGAATAGTAGATTCGAGCTGCTATATTTGGCAAGAGCAATAGGTAAATAGAATCAGTGCCAGGTACACAGCAAAGCATCAGACATGCATTTAGGTCTGATTGGTAATATTCTTATTTACTCAATCTAAATTTAAATATCCTTTCTCTCTTCCTCTCTCTCTCACACACACATAAACACAGAACAGGGGTAAGAGGAGATACACTGGGACCTATTAATAAATCTAAATGATTTACTGTACAACAGATCATAAAATAATATAAATTCTTCTGTTCCCTACCATTCAATCAGACCCGTTGAAGATTCTTGGATGAGAAGCAGAACGCTTTCAAGAAAAAACCCAAGGAAGTCCAGTTGCCCTTTGAAAAGCATCTTTGGGACAACCATGATCTGGATTATTGAGAATCTCCATAGACCAGGGGTCCCCAATCCCAAGGCCACAGCGCACTACCAGGCCTTGAGCCTTTTGGAACCAGGATGCAGAAGTGGTGGGCGAGGATATGTGACACATCCCCGCTTGGGCAAATGGAGCTGTGCAAGCAAGACTTGCCCACAGAACCATCCCCTCTCCCCCCCCACCCCCGCAAAAGGTTGAAAAACTCTGCCATAGACAAAGATCAGAAAAGATTCCCAAATTAAATTAAATTCCCACACTTGCTATATATTTACCTAAGTGAGATGTGGGACCTCCCTCTTCCCCCTATAATGTTGTCTCTACTGATAGAGGGGAAACCTTCTAGATTGCACCATGAACCAAGGACATAATCAACAATAGTAGCAATTGTGATTTTACTTTCCTCACTGCAGATTCATTTGAATCCTTGCAGCAAAGGAGTTAAATTCACTACATCGTTGTATTAATTGCTCTGTATCAGTCCCAGGTTCATGGTAACTTATTAAAACAGGCCCCAGGCCTAATACTCTTTATGAAATAGGAACAGAAGAGATTTTATACAGGAATGAATAGTCATTCAATCTTGTAGGAACTATTCTTCTCATTTATTTAAGCTCACTAAGCAGAGCCTGGTGCAAAAAGATATAGCTGTAAGACTCAAATGGTAAATCATTTTTAATATCAGAATCAAACAAAACTTCCTATCCCTCCCACTCTCTTTAACCAACTTCTTTGTTTCAGCAGTAGAAATTATAATGATGAAATAACTAACGTCAGCAATTTTTGGTCAATCTAGTGCTGGTCGTTCAAATATCTAACAAGAGACTTGATCAACTACCTCTGGACCTTGGAATAAAGTGGGCTGCCTACATATTAGTACTTGTCAATTATTCCAATTCACCTTTTCCCTAGAATGAGATAGTTCTGATTTGGCACCCTGGCATTCCCTCTGCCGCTGCTCATTCTCCAGCCTCAGAAGCTGCTGTTCCTGCTTGATCAGCTCCAGTTCACCCCAACAAAGCTTCTTCTGCTGGTTCTGTATCCCTGATGAATGCACAGCTGATTCCAGGAACCGACTCTGAAGCAAGAAAGCAAGCAAATAGCAGAGTCAAACTTATGATACAAGCTAGGAAGATTGATTGCTCAGAGGCGTGGATTCAAAGCCACTTTCTATCTTGACTCATATGAGCAAGTCGCTCCCTCTTAACTTGGCTACATTCCCATAAAAAGCATAAGAAATAGAAAGTGCTGCCTTATAGGACTATTGGAAAGGCAAAACAAAAGTGAACTTCTGCAATTAAAGGTTAATATAGCCATGAGCCTACAACAGATAAGTTCATTTGGAACTTATGGTGAAGAATTTTGAATGGGGTGGAAATAGTTTGAAAGTGTTCTATTCAATCAAACCCAGATGGGATGCACATAATTGCTAAAAAGTGAATAAACATTTATGAAATATATGAAATCATTTTAACATTCAAGACAAAGGGTATGGATTGGCAACTGCTTATATTAATGGAACAAAAGAAATGTGGAAGTTAATTTCTCACACTGCTCTCCATTGAAAAAAGATAATTATGACATGTATCTAGAACTTAATTTGAAAAAAAAAGCACACATACTATAGTTTAGTCTAATTTAGAACTGAAGAAACCTGGATTCAGGCTGTCACTTGATCTGAAAGCTGCTTGGAATCCTTAAAATAGGAGAAGCTAATCACTTTGTCTCAGTCTAACCCAATGCTTTCTCAACCTAGATAACTTGAAGATGGAGTTCAACTCCCAACTCCCATTCCTTCGGCTGTGCATTTCTGGGAGTTGAAGTCCATACATTTTCAAGTTGTCAAATTTGAGAGTCACTGGTATTTAACCTACCTCACCAAATTATGGCTGGGGAATAAATGAGAGGAGATTTCCATTTGCCACCTGGGGCTCTGAGAGAAAAGATGGGGTATACCCAAACTAAACAGATATTTTTCCAATTAGAAAGGACTATCTAATCCACATTGTTCATTTACTCTAGTGGTAAAGACAACTCTGAAAGTATTTTGATTTCAATCCAGCTGTGTGAATAATTGAAGAATGAATTGGTTTAGAATTTAATTACTGTGAGGTATTCTATTGAAAAGCTATAAAGCATTTCATGCAGCTATTTTGGTCTCATGGTAACTGAACAAATATTAAATTGTCATCATTTTCCTAAATCCTGCAGTGGGTTTAGAGAGAGTGGTACAAGTATGTGTGTGTGTGCCATTTTTCATCACAAACAATTCTGAAGCAGTTAGCAATACTTATAGAACAGAAAATAGAGAACAAAGATAATTCATCAAAAAGAAATATATTAATTAACCAACAGCAGGAAAGATCAGCATAAAACGGTGGGTTTTGAAAGGATGCTTAAAATATGTCAATTTTTTAAATACAGCACCTGTATTTAAAGAAGTGGGAAGACCTGCTTCTCAAAAGCAGCCCATTTATCCCTTAAATAAATATCAGGATGACTCAGCAACTGTTGAAATCAGACCCTCCCATCTGGGTGTACCTTCTCATTGGCCATTTGCAGTTGCTTATTCAATGACATCGCTTCCTGTTTTAGATTCTCTTTTTCCTGCTGGGTGACCCTCAGGTCTGATTTGAGCCTGGATACCTGAAGGCTAACATTTTGCACAATATCATCGAAATTCTGAATCTAAAAGGGCCAAAGAAAAAAGAAGTTGGGGGCATGAAATAGATTGTATTCCAGCAAAGACAAGATGCTTTTCCCACACACTTGTTCCCTGCTCAATCGAAGTACTGTATGTATTTCAAAACTTCATATGTATTTCAGGATGAGAAAACTTTTTATAAGAGCAAAGACACTTTCTCTGTTCTTGCAGGTAAAGAAAGACACATGGGTGGTTTCTCTCCTTTAAAGCAATAGAGTGTATAGAAACAGTTCTTGTTCTTGAGACATTTTTCAAACAGTGAAGCAATCAAGATAATGCAGAATAAACTCTTTCAGTACAGGTGGGAGCTGAAAGAAAAGATAAATCAGAACCAGCCAGCATGACCTATTCAACAGATTTTTTTAAATGATGAAAGGAACATATAGTACTATGAAGGACATTTTATTGCTCAATAAAGTTAATATTTAGTTGACGGATAGAGACATCTATGGATAAATACATAGGCAAGAGCAGAAGGGGAAAAAGAGTACTTTTTGGTTTATTATGGAAGTAAGCAAATGGAAGGGAACAAAAGGTTGTAATGATGACATTGTTCTTCTCCACAAATATGTTAATTTAACGCTTTTGCAGGAGAGAAAACATAGCTGCAGCTTAACTGCACAGAATCAAATTAATTGTTAAATTCTAAGCCATTTGGAAGCCATTTTTATCAACATGTGGGTAAATGTATCAACAGTCTAGATTAGACTCATAAGTGTTTTGACAGGACAATAACACACCTTGTCTTGTGATACTGCCATTTGTGCTTTCAGATGCTGATTCTGGTGCTCCAAAGATGAGTTCTCCTCCCTCAAGGAAGCATTGAGGCTCTCTAGGAAAGTAACTTTAGTTGTCTGCAAAGATAGTAAAGCCCAGGTAGGACTGCTATTAGGATCTACAGTCATCAAGGCCTTAGGCCAAGGGAGACCACTGTTCCTCAGACGGCCGGTTGTGAGTCCCTCCTTGTGAAGTGGGGCCATGGGGTTCAGATGGGTTTGCTGATCACGTACCTGGCTCCCTGCCACGTGGCAGCAGCCCTGCCCGAGCTACTCAACGTTATCGCCGTGGTGGCGGTTGATACCCCCAGATTTATGGTCATGGGGGACTGTAACCTGCCATCCGTGGGTGAGGCATCTGAGGTGGCTCGGGAGTTCATGGCTTCCATGACGGCCATGGACCTGACCCAGCTAATTCATGGCCCTACGCACACGGGGGAAAACACACTGGACTTGGTTTTTGTCTCTGGACAATGGTTGAGTGATCTCGAGATAGGGGATATAGTCATCGAGCCCTTGTCATGGTCAGATCACTCTCTCCTTTGCCTTGACCTTCGAACTGCGGCACCCCGCCACAGGGAGGCAGAACCGATAAGATGGTACCACCCCAGGTGCCTGATGGAACCTGACAGGTTCCAGATGGAGCTTGGGCCAATCCCCGAGGTTCTGGCTCACGCCTCGACTGGAGACCTAGTGGCCGCCTGGGACAGGGTGGCCGTTGGAGCTCTGGATCGAGTCATGCCTTTGCAGCCTCTGACCTGGCGCCGATCTCACCTGGCTCCTTGGTTCACCAAGGAGCTGAGGGAGATGAAGCACTGGAAAAGACGCCTAGAGAGTAGTTGGAGGGCCAGTCTTTCTGAATCTGACCGGACACTGGTAAGATCTCATATTAAGAATTACCTAGTGGCGATAAAAGCAGCAAAATGTACTCATTTTGCTGCTCTTATTGCGTCATCAGATAATCGCCCGGCCGCCCTGTTTGGGGTGACTCGCTCCCTGCTCCACCAGAAAGCGAGGGAGGACCCCTTGGAGGGAAGAGCCGAGGATTTTGTTCAGTATCTGTATGACAAAATCACTCAGATTCGGGAAGGTCTGGAATCCGACTAGGTAGATCCAGCGAGGGTGACGGAGGCAGGTCTTGAGAATGTTATTTGGGATGAATTTGATCCTGTGACCCCAGATGACGTGGACAGGATTCTGGGTAGATTGAACGCGACCACATGTTTGTTGGACCCGTGTCCTTCCTGGTTAGTGCTGGCTTCCCGGGAGGTGACACGAGGCTGGCTCCAGGGGATTATAAATGCTTCATTGGGCGAGGGTGTCTTCCCCGCCGCCATGAAGGAGGCGGTGGTGAGGCCTCTCCTCAAGAAGCCTTCCCTGGACCCGGCAGTATTGGCTAATTATCGTCCAGTCTCCAACCTTCGCTTCGTAGCGAAGGTTGTTGAGAGTGTGGTTGCGCGACAGCTTCCCCAGTACCTGGATGAAATGACGTATCTGGATCCATTCCAGTTGGGCTTCAGGCCTGGGTACAGCACGGAAACGGCATTGGTCTCGTTGGTTGATGATCTCTGGAGGGCTCGGGACAGGGATTGCTCCTCTGTCCTGGTCCTGTTAGATCTCTCAGCGGCTTTTGATACCATCGACCATGGTATCATGCTGCACTGGTTGGAAGAGTTGGGGGTGGGAGGCACTGTACTATGGTGGTTCTCCTCCTTTCTCTCTGACCGGTCGCAGTCTGTGTTGAAGGGGGGCAGAGGTCGACCCCGAGGCCCCTCATATGTGGGGTGCCACAAGGATCGGTCCTCTCGCCCCTTTTGTTCAACATTTATGTAAAGCCGTTGGGCGAGATCATCCATGGTTTCGGGGTGAAGTACCACCAGTACACTGATGACACCCAGCTGTACATCTCCACCCCGGACCACCCCAACGATGCCCTTGAAGTGATGTCCCGGTGCCTGGAGGCTGTACGGATCTGAATGGGGAGAAAGAGGCTCAGGCTCAACCCATCCAAGACCGAGTGGCTGTGGTTTCCGACGTCCCGATATAGTCAGCTGATGCCATCGCTGACTATTGGGCGTGAATCATTGGCCCCCATGGAAGGGGCTCGCAACTTGGGCATCCTCCTGGATTCACGGCTGTCTTTAAAAGAGCACTTGACAGCCATGACCGGGGTAATTTTTCATCAGGTTCGCCTGATCCGCCAGTTGCGTCCCTTTCTAGATCGGGACTCCCTACGCAGTCACTCATGCCCTCGTCACCTCTCGTCTGGACTATTGTAACGCTCTCTACATGGGGCTCCCCTTGAGGTGCACTTGGAGGCTCCAACTGGCGCAGAGTGCGGCCGCGCGGGTGGTTATGGGAGCGACATGGAGTTCCCATGTAACACCTCTCCTGCGCGAGCTGCACTGGCTCCCGGTGGTCTTCCGGGTGCGCTTCAAGGTTTTGGTTATCACCTTTAAAGCGCTCCATGGCTCAGGACCTGGTTATCTACGGGACCGCCTGCTACCACCAATAACCTCCCACCGTCCAGTACACTCCCATAGAGAGGGGCTCCTCCGGGTGCCGTCGGCCAAACAATGTCGACTGGCGGCCCCCAGGGGGAGAGCCTTCTCTGTGGGGGCACCTACGATTTGGAACGAGCTCCTCCCGGAGATACGGAGGATCCCGGATCTGCGCACCTTCTGTCGCACACTCAAGACTTTCTTATTTCATCAAGTTGGCCTGGCCTAAATCTTCTCCCCTTTTAAATGTAAATTTTAATTTGTTTTTAAATTATTGGGTATTTTAAATTTGTCTCAGCCAAATTATTTAATTCGTTTTTATTCTATTTTAAATTTTTGTATTTATGTGTTTTATTCTATGGCTGTTCACTGCCCTGAGTCCTTTGGGAGTAAGGCGGTATAGAAATCCAATAAAATAAATAAATAAATAAATAAATAAATCTTACCAAGACCCTAGCAGTCTGCAAATGTATCATCAGTGCCTAACCCTCAATAGTTTTTCTTCTGGCTCAAGCAGTCTCAATACCAAAGTAATTGGATCAAATTATGTTTGTGAACCACCTGAGTTGCTGAACTATCAGTGCTCTGCAACACCTTAATGAAAGACTAAGGCACGGACATCTACAAAAGGGAACAAAGAGAGGCCAAGTGGGAAATGTGCATCATGATGTAAATTCCATCCCTTCTGTAGTTGCATCATGATGTTGCATATAAATACATAAGAGGTGAAACTTGTGTTATGATGTCACAATGCACATTTCACCAGTTTGGTGTCAATGTGTGCTCAAAGGGGATTAAAAGGTGGAAAAGGGAAAATGCATTCTGGTCATCTCTCATCCAGATAGCATCCCTGGCTCTTGTATGGCATTCCCTTGTTCCCGTATATTATCATTATTTTCTGGATGGCTGAATATGTTTCTACTGAAGCAATGGACTACATCTACCCCTAATTTCTATTTGGACTTACACATAACAAAGAGGCATGGTTTCTTGTGCATTATCTTTGATCTTAGAAAGTAAAAACAGTTTAAAAACGAAAGAAAACCAAGGAAGGTGGCTATGAGCACCACACCCCCAAAAGTAATGTGTTGGTATCTGTAGATTGAAATAAAGAGTGTATGTGGATGGGACATTATTGTGTGCCCCTCACCTTCTCTATGTACCGGTTCAGCTCTTCACTGAGGGCTTCTTTCTCTTTCAGTAGCTTCTCATTTTTTATGATGACATTGGAAATCTCATTCTCCAGTTCAGAAAGATCCAGGCAACTGGGTAGCTATGGAAAAATCTCTGTTTTAATTTTTGAGATGAGTATGTTTAAACCGCATTCAAGAAGAACTTCTCAATAATGTCTATGGAATGTTTGCACCTAAATGGAGGCTGTCTGCAACTCAGAAGTGACCTTCTGAGGTGGGTTTCAGCAGGTTCTGACCAGTTTTGGAGAACCGGTAGTGGAAATTTTGAGTAGTTTGGAGAACTGGTAGTAAAAATTCTGACTGGCCCCGCTCCATCTATTCTCTGCCTCCAAGTCCCAGCTGATTGGGAAGAAATGGGGATTTTGCAGTAACCTTCCCCTGGATTGGGGAGGGAATGGAGATTTTACAGTATCCTTCCCCTGGAGTGGGGTGGGAATGAAGATTTTAGAGTATCCTTCCCTTGCCACGCCCACCAAGCCATGCCACACCCAAGCCACACCCACAGAACTGGTAGTAAAAAATTTTGAAACCCACCACTGGTGACCTTCATAAACTAATTGATTCCCAGAAACAGATCTCAACTCCCATTGGGAAGAAAGGCATTCTGCCCACCATTACCTGTTTTACATTCTCCAGTTCTTCTTTGAGGAAATGGTTCTCCTGCTCCAGTCCATGAACCTTAATTCTGAGCTGAGCTAGCTCTGTTTCCAAGGATGAGACCAATGATGAGGACTAGAAGTCAATTGAAGAAAATTAAATTAAATGTGAAAGTTGAGGCAAATACCCTTTTCAGAAAGCCTCAAAGGTTGGTTAATTTGCAGCTTAAGAATTGGCTAAAGTAAAATTTTAATTTATATTTTTTTCTTTAAAATGTGCTTTTATTTTGTTCTTTATGTCACATTGAGTCTCTTTTTTTATTAAGCAGACTATACATTGAAATAGTAATAATAATGACAATGATGATAATGGTGGCAGGTATTATTATTCTCAAAATATTAAGAGGAAGAGGGGGAGGTCAATGACGGAGGTCAAACTAAGATCTGAATCGGCATCTTACTATTCAACTCATTGTAGCCTCTTGTACCTGAATTTTAGATTTCTCCAATTCTTCTTTGAGCTGGGAATTCTCTCTTTCCCATTCTTCTGACATGTATTTCCTAGCCTCCTTTTCCTTTTGCCGAAATGTTTTCATAAACTGTTGGTTAGAATCTTGTACATCTGCTCGATTTGGAGAATTTCGATGGCCAAGTTCAGCATTTTCCAATTCCAATTGCTGATTCCTGGCTTTCAGTTCAGATACCTGATTAGGAAACAAGAACCCAACAAAAATTAATGGTAAGAAAAATTTCCTTGGACAATACTTTTCAAGCCTCTTTCCTTCTGCAAAATAATTCAGTCAACTGTAATTGGTTTCAGGATATAAGGAGAACTGGGCCATACTGTACTCTCTTGAAAAAGCCAGCATTGAGTAGTTGAGACTACTGCCTATCACTTTAACATAAATCTAATATTCTCCCAATGAGCAGAATTTTATTTTCCATAGTTCCCCAACCAAAATATCAATACCTTTACCTCTAGGATTCATGCAGTAAAAAGCCGGCATATAAAAAGCTATGTGTGCTCCTATAAAAAGCTATGTGTGTGTTCCTGGCAGAGGTGAGCAGTGCCACCTCTGCTCTGCAAGTTGCATTAGTTACCAGTTTGCTTCTGAGTCCAAATCAAAGTTCTGGTTTTAACCTTTCAAGTCCTTTATGGCATGGGACTGAGTTATCAGAGGGACTTGCCTCTCCCAATTACATCAGCCTGTCCCAATAGGTATAGCAAAGTAGGCAGGTTGTGAGTAACATTAGCCAAGGATCTTCATTTGATGGGCCTTTTTCCAGAAGATGTGCCTTTTTCTGCCATGGCAGCTGCCTTATGGAACATTCCCCCCCTCCCCTGAAATTAGACTAATTCCATCCCTGTTTTGATATTCCCCAAAGCCCATAAGTCTTGGCCTCAGGTCTGGGGCTCCTAGGTAACCTGGCTCCATTGTTGAGATGGCTACTTTTATCCTCCTTCTCTTGTGGTTTATATTTTCATGTTTATGATGTTTATTAATAAGGCTTAAATTTATGTTATACATTTTTTGTTTTTATTTATTATTCTTGCTGATTCTTGCTTGCCAGAGTCTCTGTGAGATGGGCAGAGATATAACTTTGATCGCTAAATAATTATTTAGAAACATAGTATCCAGAAAAACATTTTTTTTTAAAAAAAAGCACTTTGAAAAGAGAAGGTTTAACTCATGTATTCTATCTTATGATGAGCAAGCATAAAGCTGGGGAATAGCCAAGTTCCAATCTGCATATTAGACTGGAAGTAAAGTTCATATTTGATCATATTAGCACTTGCCATCAGTGAATTTTATAGTTGTTAACCCCCTTTCTCAATCACCCTTGATTCAAAGTCTGTGTTTTATTTCTTTCATAGACCAGTATAAAACTAATAATGTAACAGTCACTCTAAAATAAAAGTAAAAATGAAATGTAAATTAATGTAAAACTACAAGAACAGGGATGGAAACTGGGAAGGGACCTATACAATTACAATCAATTTTACAATCAATCTGAATTCAGGTTTTTTTGGCCAACCAAGATTGCCTAAATGTAGAAAATCCTACCTGTTTCTTCAAGCTTTCAGCTATCTTCTGCATGGCCATTTTCTCCTTCAGTACGGTCTCTGTTTTTTGCCTAAAAATGCACAGTACATAGAACCATCACATTCAACAGTATGGCAATTTTCTCTCAGGTAGGTCCATCTGGATACTTTGGGGCTGAATGGCAGGTTGCCTAAATATTTTGGAAGGTGAAAGGGGAAGGTTGCTGCTTATGTGGGTGAATATAAATAGGAACTATAGAAGCATCTCACAGCAGCTGAAAGATTGTTTTAAGTACAATAGTCCTCAACTTATGACCATAACTGAGCCCTAAATTTATGTTGCTAAGTGAGAAATTTAAGTAGGTTTTGCTCCATTTTATGACTTTTCTTGTCACATTTGTTAAGTGAATCACTGGAGTTGTTAAGTTAGTAACACAGTTGTTAAGTGAATCTGACTTCCCCATTGACTGTGCTTGTGAGACGGTTGCAAAAGGTGATCACATGACCCTGGGGCATTGCATCCCTCATAAATATGAACCAATCGTCAAGCAACCAAATGTAATGGGGATGTTGCAATAGTCATAAATGTGAACAATGGTCATAAGTCACTTTTTTCAATGCCATTGTAACTTCAATGTAAGTCGAGGACTACCTGTATTAGGTTCCCTCGGTTACATATTGGAGACGATTCTTTCATTTAATAAGTCAATCTCAATCTTCCTGGCAGTATTTTCCTCTCTAAGATGCTCACATCTGGGATGCAAAAATATAGTCTTTAAGATACTCAAGATACTTTGAACTATTTCCAGCCTGAATTAGTTTGTTGAAATGCATATTATTTATGCCTGTGGCAGGTAGCTTCTTCTAGTTAATCTTAGATAATTTTAAAGAGCCAAGCTTCTAAACTTTATTAGTAGCTGAGTGGGAGACCACTCGGAAATTCCAGATCTGTAGACTGAAGTTGAAACGTTCTGTAGCAAACCACTGCCATATTATTGCCTAAAAAGACACCATTATCATGTCTATGAAGTCATCAACTTGAAGGAAATTCTGCTCTGATATTATTTTATGATGCAGGCCATCAACCTGCAAAGATGTTTTTCTTACCATATTGTTAGCAAACAGAATAACTTGTTCTATTTTATAGGAAATGTCTACAATGAAATTATGTTGAATCAAAATACATTAAAAGTGGTAATGGTTAACTAATCAGAATTATGATCATTTAAAAACAAGGAATTAAGAAGAGGAAGAAGAAGAGGAATGATACAAAAGGTAGTATTGTAATGAGGATATATAAAAGCATTAAGCTAAGCAGTACACAAAAAATGATTGTCTCATGCAATTTGCACAGTTCCCAATAGATAAGCCTGCTGTCTAAACAATTCAGCCTTCTAATACTCCATGAAAGTTATACTTGGTTATTTATTCTTCAAATCTCTATGAAATGTTATTAATTCATGTTAGAAATCACAGAGCATTTGTCTTCTAGGCAAAGTTAATCTATATGTTAATCCAAGTCATGCGAGGTGGACAATGAAGCATTAGGTAGTTAGTTCCAAAAAGCAGAGCCAAGTGGCAGGATTTAGACCATGGAAGGATTCCACATTACCTCAAAAACTCAATCTTCTGAAGCTGCTCATTGTAGGTGCTCTGCAAACCGTGAAGAACAGCATTCAGGCTCTCTTTCTCCTGTGTATGGGTGCCTTTCTGCTTCAGGAGCACTGCTATTTTCTCTTTGAGTTTCCTGTTCAGCTCATGGAGCCCTTTCCTGTCCACTTCTGCATCTTTGGTGACATTCTCACAACGGCCCAGCCGTCCACTCTTCTGGGATTGCAGAGTCAGCATGAGCTCATCTAGTTTGCCAAGCTGGCTTTGCAAAATCAGCTTGGAAGTCTGCAGGTTGGCATTTTCCATCACCAACTGGTCCTGTTTCTTTTCTAGGTCTTTCACTTTCTGTAGCAGTTGCTCTTTCTCCTCCTTAAGGGTGAAGCAGTCTTGGTTGGTTTCATCTAGCCTGGACTGCAGGCTTATAAATATTGGCATATATCCCTCCAATTTATTGTTACGTTCTAGCAATTTGATTATCTCTGTTTTTAGGGCTTGGTTTTCTAGTTTGAGTTCTTCTGGAAATTGGAAAATTTTAGGTCCTATTCTGGAGTCTGCGTCTTCCACCATATCCATACCCCAAAATTCTGATACTACATCATGGAGGTCTCCCTTGTCAATTCTAACTTCTTCTCCATGATCTGCCTCAAATAAAAGAGAGTAGGAACTTATTTCCTCAACACTTAAATCAGTATCCAAAGCTTCAGCAAAGAGCATTTGGTTTTTTGTTGCACTGCCAGTAGGCAATTTTTCCCAATGCAAACTTCCCCCCTTCTCATCACTTGCACATGGCAACACATTAGGCTGGGGGATAGTTTTAAGGATCTCCTCAAGCTCCTTCTGAACCTGTGAAGCCATATCTTGTCGAGCATGAGCTGCTTGATTACATTCAGTTTCTAGCAGAACGATCCTCTCCAGAAGCTGATTCTGTCGCAGTTTAAGGGCTTCATTCTCTGCCAAAATTTCTTCAGAGGCCTTCTGCAAGACATGTGAAGTCTCCATAGTTTCTTCAACTGTTGTCCCTCCATTTTTCATGTTTGGAATTGCAATCTTGTCTAATTTTTTCATTCCATCTTCTGTTACAACTTGACTGTCTTTGCCAGTCACACTTAGGAGCTGAGCATCTATAAATGTTTCTGGAACTAATGGGATGAATCCAGGGTATTGGGTTGATTCTCTTTCTGGTTCTTTCAAAGAGTCATCCATCAAAGAGGTAGTTCCTACACTATTTTCTTCTCCTGGATCTTGAACTATTTCTTGTTTTGAAAGAACATTTATCTCCTTTCCAGAGTCCTGGTGCTTGACAGATTCTAGAAAATCACTTCCTTTTGCTTCTTCATCCTTGTTTAAAGAAACAAGATTGCTTTGCAGTTTGGACTGACATTGCAATTCCTGCTGTAGCTCTTCTATTTTATTTTCAAGCACAGAGATCTTTGACTTCAATTCATTTTTTTCTTCTATTGCTCTGCTGGGCATCTCTTGCTTCAAATACTCCAAAGCCTTAGAATTCTGTTCTTCTTGTTCATGTACAAATTCTGCTTCTTGTCTTCCAAGCTTTTTGCTAAATTGCCTTTGTTCTTCCTCTGATGTTGGCATTTCTTCCCTTTTCCTTAGCTCCATCTCATGGCTGGATTGAATCTTCAGAAGTTTCTCACACCATTCATTTTCTTGCTTTTTCAGGTCCTGAAGGTCTTGTTGAAGTTGCTGCTTCTCCAAGATCAACAAGTTCACATGCTCCTTGTAATTTGCCTCTAGAAGTTTCTTGTCTTGTTCCAGTAATGAAGAGATTGCTTTTTCTTTCTCCAGCTTTTCTTTCCATTTTGCTTGGACCTCAATGCCTTCCTGGAGAATTTCATTTTTTTCAGATTCCCACTGGGATTTCTCATCTAACTGCAGCCTGGAGAGCTTAAGCAATTCTTGTTGATGCTGCTCCTCAAGTTTGTTTATGGTTTCCTCATACTTTCTTGCAAGTGTTTGTTGTTCAGTGGTGAACCATTCCTCTCTCTGAAATATTCTTCCATTATACTCATTTTCCACTTTTATCCTAAATGTGGTCAACACAATACATTACTGAAATCTCTACACATTCAGGGACAAAGGGTTGTAGACCACCTACTGTACTAGTTTTTAGATGTCTTAGACTTGGAATGCAGTTTTAGCCGCAAATTGCAACAATGGCCATCTGTAATTTTTAGCCTGGTATTTTTTTATTTTTAATCCTAGCTTGATTAATTCCTGTTCCCTGCTTATTTTTCTTTTTCCTTTTAAAATGTTCAATCAGGTTACAGCCTATTAAGCTAAGAATAATGACCTAGCAAAATAACTAGAGATTTTCTTAATACAGGATACTCTATTTAACATAATAAATTATCATCTAAAGGGTAAATATATATTTTGAATGAATATATTATCAGCTCAGAGTACAATGATCTCCTAAATAGTCTGAACACAATCCAAAAAGAAATTTTTTTTTGTCTTCTTATGTTTATTCATATTTATATATTACTGATGTTTGGAATTGCTGAAGTCCATACTCAATTTGTGACTCACAAAAAGAGCTAGCCAGATTTACTGGACCAGTAGAACCGGAAGCAAGAGATGCTAGATACCAAGGATGAGCATTCTGAAGCCCCAGATATGTGTAAGACCACGAGTCCTATCCAATGGTGGGTTTCAAATTTTTTTACTACTGGTTCTATGGATGTAGCTTGGTGGGCGTGGCAGGGATTGGTGGGCATGGCTTGGTGGGCGTGGCAGGGGAAGGAAATTGCAAAATCCCCATTTCCTCCCAATCAGCTGGGACTTGGGAGGCAGAGAATAGATGGGGGTGGGGCCAGTCAGAATTTTTATTACCGGTTCTCTGAACTACTCAAAACTTCCGCTACCGGTTCTCCAGAACTGGTCAGAACCTGCTGAAACCCACCTCTGGGCCTATCCAATTGCCAAAATTGTCTGTACAGTTTATTTCTTTATTCATTCTTTGCTGACAGTAATGGCCAACCTGCCTGAAAATTATTATGGGTGGCACACAAAAGATCCACATTCAATACAATATAAAAATAATACAAAGCAATAAATTAGGGACTAAAATAACAAGGCACATGCTCCTAATTAAGTGCTTGATTAGATCCATGTTTGTAAGGCTTGTGGAAGGACAGCAGGATTGGAGCAATTCAATTTTCAGATAGGATCCAGAGGGGAGGTGCCACAACAGGTAGCTGCTGAAGTCACATCACATGGAATGGGTTTTAAGGATGGACCCCTGGAGCATGGCTCCTTTGGCAGATTTTACCAGTCAGGGAGAAGCAATAGGAGAAAGGTGGTTCTTCAGTCAGGCCCTATGCCATGAAGGGTTTTATAGATCATAGCCAACACCTTGAATTGCACCTGGAATTATACCAAGGTGTGCTTATAACTGCCAAGGATGTTGTTTTGCAAGTGTCTACATATAAAATGACTAAGCCTCTGGCCACAAAAGGCTTCTTTGCTTGTTGTAAACTATTTCAGTATGATGTCACTGGTTCTGAATTTCAGTCTATTATATCAGAGACCTCGAGTCTCTTATAGGCTATGATCTATAAGACCTTCCAAGTCAAGCATCCCCATGTATTGTAAGGCTTATTAATCCCATTCACCGTTAAGGTTCACTTGCCTCCATTCAGTTATCAATGTAGGCAACGAGACCGGAGGAAATACTGTATAATCTCGAGAAAACAGGGCTAAATTCCCAAGTCAAAGGCCTGTTACCTTTGGACTTTCCTTTCATTCTGCAAAGAAAAGAAGGTGGATGCCGGGGTGTGTGCAATACAGATTTAGAGGCATCAAAGGCTTGACAAATATTGTTGAAATCAGTTCATCATTTGCTTGGGGATTTCTGCCATTTATAGGGCAGAGTAAACAATCAATCAATCAGGGTATACAGTACATAAGATACTGTATTTATGCAGATCAAACTGAACAGAGGCGACATATGAGATCCATGATCAAACAAAGCAGTATTGTACCACTACTAAAAGTCAAAACTTATTTTCTTACTTGCTCTGGCATATAATAATAATAATAATAATAATAATAATAATAATAATAATAATAATATTGGCCTGTTTTAAAGCATTGAGAGCACATTTGATGTATCTATAATACCGTTCTTCATGTGTATATAGCCAGTCTCAAAACTTATTTTATTAAGAAGTTCTGCCTTTTGAGCTAATATCTAATCTTTGACAGTGACTAGAATATTGTACTAGTTGTAATAACTGTAACAGTAATAATGTCCAAGCAAGGGATATTGTTGTAAGTATGGTTCTCAGTCTTGGGTAAAATATTAATGGATATTAATATATAGATAGTAGTATTTAAAAGAAATTAGTGGTCCCCTTAAAATATTAATATATGCTGCACGTGATGGGATCTTTTCACAGATGGAAAATGTCATTCAATTGTTCACAACCAATTTTGTCAGTAGAAGCTGGAACAATAAAAGGTATTCACTAAAGATCTTGTCATCATTGCAGGGCTGTATAGGTTTAGATTCAAAGCTTGTTTTTGGAGGTGGAAATACCCCATTTAAAAACAAACAAAAAATTTATTGTTTAAGACAGGAAACACACTACAAAGTAGTGCAAAAATAGTGATTTGTTATAATGATATATTGAATAAACTGTTTAAAATATACTTTATCACAATTCAATATATGTAGATGTATATACAATTCAATGCACCCCACAATATACAAAGCAACCGGATCAATGTAATTAATGTAGATACAATTATACACTCTTGAAAGATAATTATACTGATTATACTGATTTTTTTATGTTTTGATTATTTTATTTGTGCACTGCCCAGAGCCACCCTGTGAAGGAGATGGGCAGTTACAAAATTTGATAAATAAATAAAATAAATAAAAATAATTTATCAGATACAAATACAATTACGTTTTTTCTTGCTTTCCTCTATTGGATTTTCTTAAATCCTAACTCAGAAATCTTCTAAAAGATTCTGCATTTCATTCATTAGCAAGGATATGATTTAGCTTTCATTAGAGATCTAAAGCTACCCAAAGCTTACCCCAGAACTGCAGTTGTCAGGGTTCCTAAGATAAAATGGTAAATTCAAGGTAAATTCTATGCTGTTTTTTTTTTTTTAAAGTTACTCACTTTTGTTCCTGGAGCTCTCGCTGATGCTCTCTTAGTAGCTCTTGTTGTAGCTGCTCCATCTCCAGGGTATGCTTCTCCATCAATCTTTGCAACTTCTCATGGAAGCCATTTTCTAGCTCCATTTTTTCTTCTTGGATGGCTTGTGCTAAAGTTCTCATTCTTTCTTCCAGCCAGGCTTTAGACTGAATCAACTCTTCCTTCTCATGACTAAAGTTTTCTTCTGCCTCTTTCAGTCTGGCCTGGAGCTCCCTCTCATGATCGATCTTCAGGCATTCTATAAAGCTAGCCTTCTCATTCATGCATACCTGGAGACTGTTCCCTTCAATATTCTGCTGGGAGTTGGCCTGCCTTAGGCTTGTCAGTTGTCCCTGAAGCTCAGAAATCTGGACTTGCAGACACCCAATTTGTTCTTCTAACAATTGTCTTTCCTGACAGTACTTCTCCTGGAGGTTCTCTTGTCCCTCCTCATAGTTGGCCTTTGTCTCCTCAAGCTGCTTTTCATAATGGCATACCTAAGTGAACGATTATGATTAGCATTTCTGCATAACTCAATAGAAGCATTGCATAAACAATTCTAGACAGTTTGGTTCAATAGCAGATATAACTGAAAATCACTCATAACCTTTTAAATTCTGTTAAAAAGAGGGCAGATTTCCCCAACCTGGAAAAAGGCAGACTTTCCCAGCCTGATACCCTCCAGGTGTGTAGGAGTATAATTCGCAATATGTCCAGCCAGCATAACTTTTATAAAAGGCTCCCAAATTTTCAATTGCTGCTTGGAAGCTGCTAATGAAACAAACTATATAAACCAATTCTTAGGCCAGCTACCAGTAGAAGAATACATGGAGATACAGAAACCCAGGGAACCAGAGAAAATCTTCAGCATGAACAGAATAAAATCTCTTTGTAGGCTTGCCGAGCATTGACCTCTGCTTGTGACCATGATGGACAATGAACTATTAGGATGATTATATAGTCTTATAAAACCCATACAGTCCATCTGAATGCCTACGGTAGATGCATGGATATTTAACAGGATGTTAGAATAATAATGTGTCAGCTATCAGGAGAAAATCAAAGATGATGGATAAAAGTACCAAGATTCAGACAAGAACTTCCACAGTCGAGACTTGACACAGCCTCCCCTCAATTGTTTTCTAAATTGTAACAATAGTTCATGACAAGGCTGATGAAAACCAGTTTGTCAGAGTGCAAAGCATGTACTATGCCAAGCATTTCCATTCTATAGCATACTATTTTGTTTGGTGCATTTTGTCTGCTACTTCTCTCATTATTTTTCTTGGAAAATCTTTCTGGAATCAAAGAGCTACATGACAATTGTTTGTAACTATTGATTTATAATTTAGCTAATCTGTAATATTAGTTGGGAAAATCATACTGATCGGTGTGTATCTCTAATTAGCTGTGCTGGAACTGGAAAATCTATTAAGGAGATAACTGTATTCAAACTTTCATTCAATAAGCCTTTGTAATGGTTCTAGACAGAGTTTCCTTCTGTGGTGATTGTGTCCATCAAGGACAAAGATGCCCGAGAGGGGAGGAAATAAGTACTCTATGCTTTTGCCTCCCAAGAGCTACTTTATGAACAGCCTATCTTCAATAATAAATTCTCTGCTGATGAGTCTCCTAATAACAATAGCAATAGTACTTAAGACTTATGTACTACTTTACAATGCTTTACAGCCCTCTCTAAGTGGTTTACAGAGTCAGCATATTGCTCCAACAATCTGGGTTCTCATTTTACCCACCTTGGAAGGATGGAAGGTTGAGCCAACCTTGAGCCAGTTGGCAGAATTAGCCTGTAATACTGCATTCTAATAACTGTGCCACCATGACTCTTAATCTTAATTTAGAGGTCGGTCTGCAAAGGACAGCCTTTTCTGGTGATCAGTGGTGGGTTGCTATTGGTTCGCACTGGATTGGGTGAGCCGGTAGCGGCGCGGTGGGAGGCTCTGCCCACCCGCCTGGACGCTTCTGTGCATGCGCAGAAGCATCGTGCGTGCGCACATGAGCGTGCACATGCCCACGAGTGAACCAGTAGCGATGGGTTTTGAAACCCGCCCCTGCTGGTGATCCATGAAACCATCATCAGTTCTCTGAAGCTTCTGATCTTCATTACAAACACATATTTAATAATATCTTATCCCCACAACATTACATTACTTTGTCCCATAACCCATATACAAAACCATAAATCATTAACATTTCAGTCCTAGTGTTAGCAAAAATCTATAAGGGATGCCAGATTTATACAAACATGTCTTATTTTAACCTTGGTCAAACAATCTAACTTTGTCCTAACTTCTGCTTTTAACAATCCCCTCTAGTGTTCAGTTTCCAAAATCATAAAGTCTCATGTTGCTGTTTTGACTTAAGATAGACTAAACAAGTTGGTTCCCACAAACCTGCTGTTTATTTCTACAATTATTTCCAAAATCTTGTAGAAAAAGTCCTAATTTTCCATTATTCCAAGTTTGTCTGGCCCTTTAATTATTTTACAATTCGCTTAAATCAGTTTTGAATGTAGCTGTTTGTGAACACTTCTAATTTTTTAAGTTCTTAAGCTGTTTTTTTCTTTTATTCAAAAATGAAGGTAAACTTCTTCAGGTTTCTTCTGAAACTTGCTGTTTTGAAAATCTCTAGTGTCCTTAAGATAGTTGAATAGGCAATTTCAGAAAATGATTAGAAAATGAATTAGCAAACTCAGTGTCAGAATTGAGAGCATGATGCTTCCTTTTATCTCTTGGTGCTCAAACCACTGTCCTGTAGTTTCTTTATGAGTAGCAGCTATCCAGAGCACAAGTGAGCTGTGGTGATGCAGTGGTTAGAATACAGTACAGCAGGCTACTTCTGCTGACTGCCGGCTGCCAGCAGTTTGGTAGTTTGAGTCTCATCAGCTCAAGGTTGACTCAGCTTTCCATCCTTCCGAGGTGGGTAAAATGAGGACTCGGATTGTTGGGGGAAATATGCTGACTCTGTACACCACTTAGAGAGGGCTGTAAAGCACCATGAAGTGGTATATATGTCTAAGTGCTATTGCTATCTCCCATCTTCTCCTTATTTGGAAAAGGTATGTCTGTTCACTGCTCCAGTTTTAGCTGCAGTTATTTTCACTCATTTCGATACTCCTTAGCTCAGCACTAATCATCCAGAAACTCCAAAAAGCCAAAATAATTAATTGTTCAAGAGAAAACTAAAGATTACAAAAACAGCAGATTTTTATTAAATAAAAACATATCCTGGGCAAATGTAATAACAATCTCTGATGCAAGCACTTTAGCTTCATGCTAAAGTGGGGACAACTTACTGTGTTTTCAAGCTCCTGCTGCAAGTTGTAGATATCCTGGTGTAGCTGATCCTTTAGCTGTTCAATAATTATTTCAGCTTCTATGCTCATGTTTAGACGGCTGCAGTCTTCAGAAGCAGGCTCTAAAATACAGGGTAGCAGAAAAGAAATGAAAGTCTTTTGGACAACTGGTCAATGATGGATCACATTGACGTAAATATTAAAACATTACGAAGTATTAGAAGGCTGCCCTCAGCAGCACCAGTCGAGGCACTTGGCAGCCTTGTTAGCTTAATCTGCTTAATCCTTAGATCCAACTTCTTTTGCATATATTGCCATGACCTCCTCAGACTCACACTCTTAAGAGATTTGGTCACTTGCTTTAGCTTTCCCTGAAGTGTTGGTACATTCTTGCAATATTGGCTACATAAAACCTGGAAAGATGACTCGATTGCCCCCCCCCCAAAAATAATGCTAACGCCCCCATGATATATAGTAGGGAGGACATATTGTACCTTGACTACCTTGCATTCCGACGTCGTTTAGTTCCTCATAGAGAGAGCTTTGCAGTGAAGGTCGGATAATTCTGCCTTGTATCTGATACTCTTCCAGCTGAGACTGAAGCTCATCTATGCGATCTTGAAGTTCCTGAAAGTTCCAGATGCAATCTCATCAGGAGCAACCCAGCCAAACAATCAACTGGAACAGCAATATTCTTATGACTTGAGAGAACTGAACAGCAGCAAATCTGCATGTATTTGCATGAGAGGCTGGAACTGGACCCTGGCTTGATCAGATCAGATCAGATCAGATCAGATCAGATCAGACCAGACCAGACCAGACCAGACCAGACCAGACCAGAGAATAGAATAGAATAGAATAGAATAGAATAGAATAGAATAGAATAGGTCTTCTAGTCCACTCTTCTGCTCAAGCAGGAGAACCTATACCATCTCAGACTGGCTGTCCAGTCTCTTCTTAAAACCCTCAAGTGATGGAGCAACCATGATTTCTGAAGGCAAGCTGTTCCACTGGTTAATTGTCCTCACTGTTAGGACGTTTCTCCTTAATTCCAGGTTGCTTCTTTCTTTGATTAGTTTCCAACCATTGTTTCTTGTCCTGCCCTCTGGTGCTTTGGGGAATAATTTGACCCCCCCCCTCTTCTTTGTGGCAGCCTCTCAAATACTGAAATACTGCTATCATGTCACCCCTAACTCTTCTTTTCTTTAGACTAGCCAGACCCAAAACCTGCAGCCGTTTTTCATATCTCGTCTCGGTTGGACTACTGTAACGCCCTCTACATGGGGCTGCCCTTGGGATGCACCCGGAGACTACAGTTAGTCCAGAATGTGGCCACGCGGGTTGTTACGGGGGCTTCTCGGTACTCCTGTGTGACACCTCTCCTGCGTGAGCTGCACTGGCTGCCGGTGGCTCTCCGGGTTCATTTCAAGGTGCTGGTGCTCACATATAAAGCCCTACATGGCTTAGGCCCGGGGTATCTGCAGGATCATCTCCTGCCTTCCTCCCACCGTCCGGTGCGCTCACACAGAGCAGGCCTCCTCAGGGTGCCGTCAGCCAGACAATGTTGGCTGGCGGCCTCCAGGGGGAGAGCGTTCTCTGTGGGAGCGCCGACCCTCTGGAATGGGCTGCCCACTGGCCTCAGGACAGCCCCGGACCTCCTCTCCTTCCGTCGTGAATTGAAGACGTGGCTTTTCCACCAAATGGGCTGAATCTGTAGGGGTGACTTCAAATAATTTTAAATAATTTTTAATTGATTTTAATTTAATTTTAAATTGATTTTAATCTGTTTATGTAATCCTTTGTTTTGTTTTGTAAGCCGCCCTGAGTCCTATGGGAGAAGGGCGGCATATAAATTAAATAAATAAATAAATAAATAAATAAATAAATAAATAAATAAATAAATAAATAAATAAAAATATGGTTTAGTCTCCAGGCCTTTGATCATCTTAGTTGCTCTGAAATAAAGCAATTTGGGGACTAAGCATTAGAGCCATCTCTTCAGCTACAGTGTATAGCTGTCTGGGTAGTGACATGTCTTGAGATCAACATAAAATGAGCAGCTTTGGAAAAACTCATGGGTAAGTTTCAGGTCAGGAAGAACTTTCTGTTCTTGGATGGCTAATGACTTCAGAGGTATTTATGTATTTTTTTATATCTCACCTTTTTACAAAAGGTAAAATCTAAGTATATATTAAAATAACAATAAATATTAAAATACAATTGTTAAAACACCAAGTGAAAGAGAGGCCTTTTATATATTGCTTAAATAATGAAAGGGTAGAATAAATGCAACTGGAAAGAGGATATTTTAGAGGCTGGAAAGTGGGGAATGGAAGGATTTATATTCCTTGCAGGCAGCTGATCATCTGCAAGAAATATAAATTCTCCCATTCCCCACCAACCAGTTAGAACTGAAGAAGATACGTGGATAAGAAATGATATGTCTTCAAAGAAAAAAAGAAGGTCCAGTTGCCTCTTGAAAAAGCACCTTAGGGACAACCATGACCTGGGATGACTGAGAATCTCCATAGACAAGTTCTATGACATTATTTGAAGGGTCTAAAGATTGAACCAAACTGACTCTCTGGATGCTTGGTCCATGTCCATACAGTTTTCCTGGTAACAGGATGGAAACAGTTCTTCATTGCCTTCTTTTAGGCTGTTTCTTTAATTCCTCTATCCTAAAAACCTCGGCATTCATGGGAGTCTGCCATTAAAATCCTAACTAGGTCTGACTCTTTAGCTTTTGGGGTGGCTCAAGCAAGTTTGGCTATGTGTTGGCCATTTGGGAAGTAGCTCAGTCCTAGATGGTCGGGTGGGAGGAGGCTTGCATAGTCGGCAGGCCAGTTCACATCTGGAACATGTGATGGGACTTAATCTTGTTAATTTTGTAAATCAAATGATTTGATCAAATGATTTCGCAGCTCTCTTTATGTAGACACATGACATCAAGAAAAGTGATTCATTGGAGTCTCTAGGCATAGGCCTTGGAAAAACCTTATTGTCTTCCAGCTGAAATGTTGTTCTTACCCTGCACTGCTGTTCGTATTTCTTCTTCATCTGACTCAGCCGCTCCTCCTGAAAGAAGAACTCGGCACTGCCAGGATCTAGATCTCCAAACTAGAACCAAAGAACACATGGTCATTTTTTCCATGCCTTTAGACAGCCTGTTTTCCACACTGGTACAGCACTTAGGTGATGGTCCAGGGAATGAAGCTTTATTATTGGATTTGAAAGGAAATCTGGTGCCCTGAATAGAGGGAGGGTACCCAGCTAAGGGATACTGCTTTAGAAAATATGTCAGAGATCAAATCTGGAGGTGGGCAAGGCAAGTGCTGCTCCAGGATATCTGTACCGGTAGCATATAGACATATGTAGTACTTAATTGATTATGCTGTCCATCTCAAACTCTGTAATTCTGGGTGGCATATTAAATAATACATATAATGTATTATAAATAAATAATACATATAGTCCTGATTTAACAACGTTAAGTAATTAAGTCATTGGGACTAGAATTTCCATTGCTAAGGAACACAGTCATAAAGCACAATGGCATGTGACTGCACCACTTAGTGACCGAAGTTGCGGTACTTCCACTTGCTGTCATTCGATGAATCCCACGACATTATGAAGCGGGATGGTCACCTTTTGCAACCACCTTCTGGCTTCCCCACTGACTCTGCTTGTCAGAAGCCAGCATTAAAGGTTGCAAATGATGATCACATGACTCTGGGATGCTGCAACGTCGTAACTGTGAGCTGGTTGCCAAGCACCTGGATTGCAGTCATGTGACCATAGGGATACTGCATCCATCATAAGAATGAGGAAGGTTATAAGTACCACTCCTTCAGCAACAGTAAGCTCAAGCGGTCGCCAGATGAGTAGTCATTAAGCTAGGACTACCTATTATATTATCCTTTAAATCAGGGGTCTCCAACCTTGACAACTTTAAGCTATGCTGGCTGGGGAATTCTGGGAGTTGAAGTCCGCCAGGATTAAAGTTGCCAAGAGACCCCTGATTTAAATCATATGCAGCAATAAAATGGCAAACAAATCTGAAAAACCTACAACTCACCCACTGTGCCCCACAGTATGGTGTATTTATAGGCTGCAGTATAATAAAAAGTTTACATGGTGATTTGTGGATTCAAAACACTACCCTCTACCTGATTACAAAAAAATACACCATGAAGCTCCTGAAAATCAAGACTTGAAGGACACCAGAAAAAAGTGCCTCTCTAGGATGACCACTCCATAATTAGGGTGACGGTAGTAAAACAGTCCTTATTCTTGCAGTCACTTGCTAAAGGGGTTGAACTGTTTCTTTGAAGTGATTGAACTGCAAGTCTGAAAATATAGTTCCAAACATCTTTGCAGAGTTTCAGACGGCTAAGTGGACTTTTATTGTATCAGTCTTACTATTTAACTTTCAAAATATCTGCATCTGGCTTTGTTTGCACCAGATTTATCCAGACCTAAAATCCTTTATTAACTCTTCATAAAGTCAAAGGACATTTGTAATATATTCTGGGATTTTGCTTTCTTCCTGTCCTAAAAGCCAACCACCTGGTATGCTGAATTAATCCCCAGCTGCTTCTTACCTTGTCTGCTAAGACGTTTTCCCAATTATTCTGCAATTTGCTCATCATGCTTTCATACTTCACCAACTTCTCCCCAGTTTCCAGGAGCTCATGCTCTAAGCGACTGTTTTCCTAAAAAGATATCCAGAGTGTCTTCAAAAGTATCCAGTTTGGTTCGCAAACAATACATAAAGTGACTGTGGTTTTCCTAGTTTCAGTTTTCTTCACCCTGATATTATTAACGATGTCTGGATTTTTCATGCAGCCTTATTGAAAATGCAGGTAATTATAGTTCTACTAAATAAAAAGGGCACTAGATTGAGTGACATTAGATTAGAGTAGGCAATATTTAAAAGGCTGCTATTCTGGTCCAGAGGAGTTTGAAAATCTAAGGGAATGTACTGTATGTCTTCATTTCTTGCTTGGTCTCTGGAGGATCATTATAATATTTAAAGGAGAAACCCCTTGCCTTGTTCTAAAATCTAATTAACTGCCTTAAAATTAACTTTCAGTTTATGCATTCAAATGAATCTGCAGTTGCCGCATGGAATATCATGTTAGAAGATGATCTTCATCTTTCCCATCCCTCCTCCTTTCCTTCAACCCCAGGATGAATTAATTTTTTTGCATAATTTAAAAAGCTTACATCAAGCTTTTTTAATAAAGTACATCAGTACAAAAATGTCAGCCCATTGATTTACACCTTAAAAATTAGGTGCATGTAATAAAAGCCGTCCATATGCAGAAACAGACATACATATTATTACACTGGTATCCTTTTTAAGGAACTGGTTTACTTCTTTTAAGCTCTGAGATGCATGTACAGCCTCTAAATCAGGGATGTCAAACTCAAATTTCATTGAGGGCCGCATTCAGGATTATGTTTGACCTTGGGGGGCCGGGGTGGGTGTGGCCAGCTTGACATCACTCCTGTCGGGGGCACCTGTGGTGGCCCAAGCGCTTTGCCAGCGGAAACAGGCTCCCGAGCTCAGTTTTCGGCTGCCACGGCCTCCTGCAACCCTCTGCCAGTGAAAACGGAGCTCAGGAGGGCCGCCCTCCTGAGCTCCGTTTTCACTGGCAGAGGGTTGCAGGAGGCCATGGCAGCTGAAAATGGAGCTTGGGAGCCCGTTGCATTTATCAAATAAATATGAGTGTGGCAAAGTTATTTACCATATTTTTTGGAGTATAAGACGCACCTTTCCCCCCCCTAAAAAGGGGTGAAAATTTAGGTGCGTCTTATACACCGAATGTAGTCCCGCCCACCTACTGGCCCCCACCTTTTGGCCTTTGCCTCCCAGCAGTTACCTCCTTGCAGCAAGCAGCAAGAAGAAACTGCTCCTTTCAGCTTCAGCACAGCCTAATTAGCACAACTTCATTGGATCGGCCTCCCGACTCTCAGCTGTTTTGCGCAGGCCTCTGCTGCTTGCTGCAAGGAGGCAAATTGCTGGAGCAGATTTTTTTTTATTCCTTGTGCTAATCAAGCTATGCTGAAAACGAAAATGAAAGTAAAGTAGGCTGTTTGCTGTTTGCTGCAATGACGCAGAGGCAGATTTCTTTTTCTTGTTTTCCTCACCAAAAAAGATAGGTGCGTCTTATAGTCTGGTGCGTCTTATAGTCCGGTGCATCTTATACTCCAAAAAATACGGTAATATACATGAAGTAATAAGAATTGCATTTAGATTATTTTAATTTTAATTGCTGTCATGCTCTTGCTTCTTTCTTTAGCCGGGCCATGTTTTACATGGGAATACTGTAAAACTCCCTACAAGCATTCAAAGGCCAAGCATGGTCTGTGGTATGAAATAAATTGTGCCCTCCTGTTTTAAGCCAGCCGTTACCTTCAGTGTCAGAGCAAGGCGGTCCTGGAGATAATTCTCTTCTGTTTTCATCTTCTCTATCTCATGCTCCAATTCTGCTTGTTGCTTGCTGGCCTGCTGCTGTATCCGCTCGCAATCTTTCTGAAACTCTGTTTTGAGAGCTGCAACACGATCTTTGTACTCCTCATCCAGCTTGCTATGCACACAGATTAAGAAAAGCCAGGGATTGAGTATTGGAAATCAGTGGTTGGCAGCAACCTAACAAAAATCTCATAAATTCAGTGGTGTTTATCAGTAAAATGATCATTCAGGTTGGGATCTTCTTGATAATGTAAATGGCCTCATAAAATAATCCTAGGGCATCCTCACCAGAGAGGATTTAAAAACGAAGTTCTCATTCCCAAGAGAAATGATACATCTGAATTTTTAAATGTTTGAAACTGCTATAGAATCCTGGATGCCCCCAAGACAGCATGTGGAAATTTGGATGAATTGAGAATTGTATATAGGTAGCCCTTGACTTATGACCACAGCTGAGGCCAAAATTTCTGTTGCTAAGTGAGACATTTGTTAAGTGAATTTTGCCCGATATTACGACCTTTCATGCCACATTTGTTAAGTGAATCACTGCAGTCATTAAGTGAGGAACATGGTTGTTAAGTGAATCTGACTTCCCCATTGTCTTTGCTTGTCAGAAGGTCACAAAAGAGAATCACACGACCCTGGGATGCTGCAACCATCATAAATATGAGTCAGTTGCCAAGCATCTGAATTTTTGATTACGTGACCATGTTGAGGATGCCTCAACAGTCGTTACGTGTGAAAATGTCGTAAGTCACTTTTTACAGTGCCATCATAACTTCAAAGAGTCACTAAATGAAGTGTTGTAAGTTGAGGGCTACCCATATTCTTTCATAGGTGCAAATTGTCATATTTCTCCGTTTCTGACTGCTTCTCTACAACCGTGCTTTTCTTGAGATTTGCTTAGTCCCAGTCGAGTTGCAATTTTGGAAAGCTATTAAAACCAGCTTTCACAAGGCTGGTAAATTGTGAGGTTGATCTTTCTTAGTATGTTTTCATTGAATGTCTTTATTGTTCTTCGGTGTGTAAAATGGCTATGTATTGTCATTTATTATAATTATTTGTTTTTAATATTTGTTGCTGAATATGCACCAAGACAAATCCCTTGTGTGTCCAATCACACTTTGCCAATAAAGAATTTTGTTCTGTTCTGTTCTGTTCTATTCTATATGGGAATGAAAGCAAGTCACTTGAAGATTTCATGCATATATTTTAAGATTTTTTTATATGAAAAATTACATCACTAATAATCAAGGATTATTTAATTTTGATCCTGGGGGTATAAGTAGTGGTAAAAAAAATGGATTTAGAGGTTGTATGCAGCACGTGGTCTTCCTACCTTCCTTCAAGGGTGTTAAGAATCTCCTCAAGATGCCTCATCCTGCAGTTCTTAGTCTAACCGCCCTACATATTATGTCAAATATGTCAAAAAGCTAAAGATGTATCTCCACAGACCTACTTCCCAGCCTGTTTCTAACATTCATGGCTCAGTTGAACCCATGGCCAGCCTTGTCAATTGTTATTTGAAGAGATCCAAGCTGCCACTCAAGTTACAGTGATTCCATGAACAGAGATTGTGAGTCCTGAAATAAAGGCAACATACCTTAGGTTGTATTCATTTTGGCGTTCAATGGCAGCATGATGGTCATCCACTTCGGTGGCCATTAGTGATGCTCTTTTCTCCACTTTCTCCAAATCCAGACGTAGTTTGTCCTTTTCCCTTAGAACCAAATCAGCCCGTTCTCTAAAAAATAAACCTCAGTTGTCAGATAATGCTGGCTGGACTTCCCAGCAAGGCAGAGAAGATAATAGTTCGACAATTTCCAAGCATACTCCTGTGAGTACGTCTACCCGGATGCACAAATAACTCGTTGAAGTTTATAAATAATTATTAGGCAAATAGTGAAATCTTTCAGGAGTGCTGAAAAGGTTGTGCGGAAATGTCGCACGCATGCTCGTCAGGACTGCACTCTGGAAAAGCCAAACTTCCGGGTTCTAGCGCACATGCGCACCTAACGATCAGCTGGGTGGCACGCATGCACAGGGTGGTTTTCAGCGCTACTGCGCACACAAAGGGATCGCGCTCTAGAAAAGCCGAACGTCTGGATTCTAGCGCACATGCGTACCTGACAATCAGCTTGTTTTCGGCACTGCCATGCATGCAAAGAACAGCTGATCATCGCACGCACATGTGGACCAGAAACCCAGAAGACAAACAGGCAAGGCTGCGCATACTGGGTGACATGGTTTCGTGCGCCACTTTGGGCATGCGTGCCACAGGTTTGCCATCACAGCTCTAGAGAATCACAGACATCAAAGTAGGTTGGCACTGACAGTGATGGGAGAAATGAATATTCATGAGTCTACATATGCTTATTTACTGGGGTAACAGAATGGCTAAGAAACAGAGCAGTAAGTTAAGAAGGTCTTGCTTCTGCTACAAATGGGTTTACTATTTAAAAAAGTTCCCTTCCCCTGCCAAAAATTCCTCTGATCCTGAACAAAATGCTGCAGCCAGCAGGCTAGCCCAGTTCAGAGCTTTTGTAAGGATAAGAAACTGCCACCCTAACCGATATATGTCTATGAGTGTCAAGAAAGTGGAAAACATGAAGCTCCAGGACTACAGTCTGCTAATTCTCTCCTGCCACAATCATTTAAGGCAATGAAACAGAGTTATGGATTTCACCAGTCTTTAGGAATCAAACCCAGTTTGGAAAGTAAAGGGATCTTTCCTTATTATCTTCCTGCCTTGGTCAGCCTTGGCTTATACAGAGTTTTCTTGGCTTTTCATCAGTTGTAGTGCCAAACAAGTCAAGGTAGCATAGTAGTTCGGTGCCGTATTGCAGGCAAACTCTGCCCACAGCCTAGAGTTTGATCCTGATGGGGTTCAAGGTTGACTCAGCCTTCCATATCTCCGAGGTCAATAAACTGAGGACCCAGATTGTTGGGGACAATATGCAAATAATACATCTTCATTGTGAACCACCCAGAGAGTGCTGTAAAGCACTAGAAGGCAGTATATAAGCCTAAATGCTATTGCTATGCCTTGAATCAAAGCAGAAAGATTCTCTCTAGCTAAAGACTTCATCCAGCTGGAAATGGGCCCCTGCGCTTAGCATTCAGACCAAAGCCGCAAGGCAACTCTGATCTAGCACTTGAAGAGGTGTTTCGACTGAAGCTTTGTCGAAGTGAAGTCCTCCTTGGGGAATCCCCACCACCTTACATTTCAGGATTTTGTTAAAGCTGATTTACTATCTCCATCTCATTGTATACCTATTTATGTTAAGATACTCACATCAAATGCCGAATCTCCATTTTGAAAGCAGCCAGTGCTGCTTGGTATATCCCATTCTTTGCTATGAGAAGCTCATTTTCCAGGGCAAAAGTCAGTTCAGCCAGGTTAATTTTTCCATCCAAACTGAAATCTAAGGCCTGAAAGAAAGTTAGGATGGATAAATGCGTCAGCTTTGATAGAAGAGAATATTTGTAGCTGGGATATTTGGTGCTCTCCGAGCTTGATGGTTATCTTGTAGACATTTCATTACCATACAGTCTGATCAGTGGTGGGATACAAATTTTTTTACTACCGGTTCTGTGGGCTTGGTGGGCATGGCATGGCTTGGTGGGCGTGGCTTAGTGGGCATGGCAGGGGAAGGATACTGTAAAATCTCCATTCCCTCCCCAATCCAGGGGAAGGTTACTGCAAAATTCCCATTTCCTCCCGATCAGTTGGGACTCGGGAGGCAGAGAATAGATGGGGACGGGGCCAGTCAGAGGTGGTATTTATCGGTTCTCCGAACTACTCAAAATTTCCGCTAGCGGTTCTCCAGAACTGGTCAGAACCTGTTGAATGCAACCTCTGAGTTTGATTATGTTACCTAGTTTGGTATGGAAATATCTGCAAGAAAATCACCAAACTCAGAGAACACCAAGTACCCCACATCAGTTTTGATTTTTCTCATTTCATTCTACCCAAGTAGGAGATGTGGCTCAACTTTCTCCCCCAATCTGGAGAAGAATCAGATGAAAGGGAAAGTTCTTCCCTTTCTTTCTAGTTCTCCTTTGCATGCAACCCTCCCCCCCAAAAAACCCCAAAGCAAAACAAAAACCCTCATATGCCAGAGAAAAAAATGTTTCAGTCTATTGTGCCTTTAAAAATGACTTCCCTTCCCTTTTGTCTCTTCTGTTTTAGAAGAAGTCAAGATGGTAGCAAAGGATAAGATGTAGGATGCCATTACAAGACTTGTTGATTTCTGATGTGGAATATATTTAGGAAGACATGAGTGGAACTATAGAGTACAAATAATAGATGGGTTTTGCTCAGGATCTCAGTGCAGCCTATATATTTCAGCAGTTCCAATAGAACGATTCTTTACATAACGAGAGCAAAGTTAGACAACCTTTTGGGGTGGATGCCAAATGGATAAATCTTATGAAAAAAGCCATGTTTAATTTGTTTTCATGGACATCATCTGTTCTGCAGATCGGATGTTCCCTTTGCACAAACAAACAGAGCTCAGCAGCCAAATATATACTCAGTGGATTCTGAGCACAGCTTCATCTTGTTGTGCCTTCACAGCAGTGGTGAAATTCAAATTTTTTTACTACCGGTTCTGTGGGCGTGGCTTGGTGGGTGTGGTGTGGCTTGGTGGACGTAGTAAGGGAAGGATACTGCAAAATTTCCATTCCCTCCCCACTCCTGGGGGAAGGATATTGCAAAATCTCCATTCTCACCGCACTCTGGGGCCAGCCAGAGGTGGTATTTGCCAGTTCTCCAAACTACTCAAAATTTCCGCTACCGGTTCTCCAGAACCTGTCAGAACCTGCTGGATTTCACCCCTGCTTCACAGTACTATAGGCATATAACGGCTGCTCTTGAAAATGGTAGACTAAACTCTGACTGGAGATGGACAGATGAGGAAGATCCATACTTTCTGCTTGACCCATTGCCACAACCTACCACTCCCTGCTTTACTCTTGGACAAAGGCACCTCTCCCCATCACATGGGTTTTGGATCTCTACTTTAAAAGCATTATGTAAGTCCTCTTAAGCCCTTCCAAGCAGATGGTCTTTAGTGCTTCATTCCAATATAGTAAAAACTCTGATTGTCTACAGTACTTGGCACACCTCCTCCACTCCAGCAGCTGATTGCTGCCCTTTTGTCCTGGCTTCAATCCTCTCTGCTGGTCAGGAGTTGCCTTTTAAAAAATATTTTGCACTTGATACAGTGATGGTCCATTAAGTTGTCCTGTTGCTTCCCACCAGGGGTGGGTTCTACTTACCTTTACTACTGGTTCGCAGTGGGGCCGCACACTTCTGCACATGCGCAGAAGCATTTTGATGACGTCAGGGTAGGTGGGCAGAGCCTCCCGCTGGTTTTACTACCGGTTCTATAGAACCGGTGCGAACCAGGGGCAACCCACCACTGCTTCCCACCCTTTAACGAAATATTTTTTTCAAACTTGACAACTTTTAAGATGTGTGGACCTCCATTCCCAGACTTCTGGGTGTTGAAGTCCATACGTTTTAAAGTTGCCAAGTTTGAAAAACATTGCTCTAGAACAGGGGTCTCCAACATTGGCAACATTAAGATTTGTGGACTTCAACTCCCAGAATTCCTCAGCCACCAAAGCTGGCTGAGGAATTCTGGGAGTTGAAGTCCACAAGTCTTAACATTGCCAAGGTTGGAGATCCCTGCTCTAGAAGGTCATTGCTCCATTCTAACCTTACTTCTTGTAAGTTGCTGCCCAAAACATTTTATTTTTGCCTTCCCACCTCTATTCAAAGTATTTCTTTTTTTTCTTAAATCTGAATGCACATGTTGGAATAAAGCTATCATGTTTCAAACATGTTATTTTTGCTTGTATGATGCTGAATCAGCAGTTCTTCCTTGCCATAAAGCTTATTTGGATTTATAGTTGTGTGTAGGAATGAAAAGGCAATCCGTTCCCCTTGGCTTTGATTACTGAATCCTCAGAGCACTGATGGTACAATGTGTATGTGTGTGTGGGGGGGGACGAAAACAGAAGAACTTTTGTTTGTGTCAAGGGAAGGGAAAGCCATCCATGTGCAAACATCTGTGAAAGCTGTCTCCTACAAAGCAAAGGCATGGAGACTAATGGGGGAGGAATAATTTCTAAACAGTGCTTCTCAACCTCAGCTTTAGATATGTGGACTTCAGCTCCCAGAATCCCCTAGACAGCAGGCCAGCTGAGGAATTCTGGACTTGGAAGTCCACACATCTTAAAGTGGCTGAGGTTGAGGAACACTGCTTTAAAAAGAAAAGGCAGGCACAGGGGCTAGCCAATGAGGGTTGCCTTCCCTGCACAGGTGGGAGGAACAAGAAACAGGGGAATAGCCAATCAAATCCTGCAGTACTTGCAGCCCTGATTGAACCTCAATCCAACTGCATGCTGGGCTGAAATGTTTAAAAGAGGTTCAGAAACAGCTGGGAGTTGCATAGGAGATGAGCAGCTTAGACTGCAATGGGGAATTCCCTTTGCTCACAAAGGCCTGAATAATCCACATTTTAACTGCACCCAGAAGCCCTGGGGTGTGTAATTGTGTTGGGGAAGATGAAAGCTTCCTGACAAAGCGCTCTGAGCATCCTTCCCCAGATTGAAATGTGTGGCATCCCATTAAAATCCTTTGTGGATTCTGAATAGTACTTTGAATCTGCGGTTCAGATATATTTCTGAAACTGCATTAGTAACCGGGTAACCATGGAATACATTACCTTCAGGATCTCCTGGCTATTCTCTATGCCTTGTTCTTGCCAAGTATCAAGAATTTGTTCCACTGCAGCGTAGCCCATCCCATCATCCAGGCTGGAAAAGACACGGAAGCTGATTGTACTTGTCATTGCTGAGGGAGGGGTGGTACGTCTCCCACTTTCATCAAAGGCCTGGCAGTGGGGTGGGGGGAGGAGAAGAGAGAAAGAGAGAGAGAAATATGTTTTTCTCTAGCCTGTAAATTGTGCCCTCTGGGGAAAAAACAATCATGTCAGGACATTAATTTGGAATCTTTCTTCTTGATGGGCTTGATTTCCAGAAGACGGCAAGTGTTTTCATTTGAGCATCCTCACCCTCCATATTTGTAATGGTAAAACCCAAAGGTCTCATGTCTCAGTAACATTTAAGCTATAGATATGGTTTTGCTCTCTCACAATAAATCCAAATAAGCAACCCCTGAGCATATCTAGATTTTCCACCTCTTGAGGCTTTCTATCCCTCATGGACAGTTTAACTGGTCTTCCTGTGCATTACAGAGAGTTGGACTAGATCAGTGTTTTTCAAACTTGGCAACCATAAGACATGTGGACTTCAACTCCCAGAAATCCACAGCCAGCAGTTGAAGTCCCCACATTTTAAAGTTGCCAAATCTGAAAAACAGTGAACTAGATGGGCCTTATGGCTCTTTAAAAAGGTAAAGGTAAAAGTTCCCCTCACACATATGTGCTAGTCTTTCCCTATAATTCTATGATATTTGTGTGCAACAAGGCCTCAGGATAATATTTAAGATTGAGCCACTGCTCCTTTCTTTTGTTTTATAAAGGCCAAACAGGAGTTTCAATTTTCATTTTTCAGATGAGCGTTACAATTTTGCTGATGAAGATGGAATATATAGATCAGGCCAACCGCAGTCAATTAAACAGCAGCATCCATAAATATCCAATAAACTCCTGGGACAAATAAAAGAAAGAAAAATTGGGAATAGGAAAACTCAGTCGAGAGAAAAAACATGATGCCAAAAAGCAATGAGATAATACAATTATTTGACAAGAATATTTTCCTCTCTGTCTTTAATAGTTTAGCTATAAGTTCTATTTTCAAAGCAAAACACAGGAAAACGTGACCTAGATCACGGGTGTCAAATTTGATCACATCACGTGACGTCACATGACATATCACAACTTTTTTGCCTTTGTGGAGCCGGGCTGGGTGTGGCCTGCACGTGATGCATCTGGCCTGTGGGCCACCAGTTTGACACCCCTGACCCAGATTGAATTAAACGTGGTTGGAGAGCAAAGCAGAACATTTTAGTGACGTGCATGGAGGAAGCACTCTGAAAGCACTTACCTGCATAGAAAGATGCCGTTTCAATTGCCTGTATGGAGTGGAAGCAGAAGGTGGGAGAGGCTTCCCAATTTTAAAGAGCCCGTAGAAAAAGTCTTCAATGCTCATTGTACCATTGTTGTGGTCAAGGTTGTGAAATACTTCCTCCAGCATCTAAGAGGGAGCAAATGTTTCAAATTAGATGTGTAGTGCCTTATGGGGGGGAAAAATATCCTAGCAAAATTAAGAAAATTCAGTGTAACTGAAATTCACTGATGCAGTCTGAAACCCAGAAATATGAGACTAGGGAACAGCAGGTGGCAGCATCTGGCTAACTTCATCTGGGCTTAGGTAAGGTTGATCTTGGTTAATACTTACTATAGACGGGGAACTCTTTGAGAATCCCAGGGCTATAGGGCCAACTGGGAAGACACAAAGCATCCCAGAAGACAATGACAAACCCATACTGTTGCCAAGGAAACAGCACACATCATTTCATTGGGAGTCAAGTTGAAGCCAAAAAGATTTTTCCTGTTTTTAGGCTTACTGAACTCAGTCTTAAACTTGTTCTAAATGCTGAACATTTAAGCTGAGAATAGAGCTATTGTTGCACAGCTGGACCTGGATCTTGTGTCATTTAAAGAATGGCTCTATAACTTTGTTTTCATGAGAATTCAACTTTAATAAAAGTTTCCACAAATGCATAAGATAATCATACATTAGTCTCTGCAGCTTTTTCTCTGCTTTTGTGGCAAACTTCCTACCCCAAAGGACCAGATTTAAAAAAAAAAAACCTCATGCCAAAGTAATATAAAGATGGGATTGTTACAAATCCTGTAGTTTTGGAAAAGAAGTATATAAAATAATTTTATAAAAAGTATATAAAATTATAAAATAGACAGTAGCGATACTGTTTGTCTTTGTTTACTTTGCTAACAAAATCATAATGTTAACATTATTTTGTCAACTGAAGGATGCAAGGTGTGGGGTAGAAAGATTTTGATGTTTCTGAAGAGATGGAGGGGAGAATGGTCATTTCATTATTTTCTATGGGGAATTTGTATCGAGCCTACTGGAGGCTTAATAGACTTGCTTTATTTCATGTTCTGCAAAAATCAATGGAACCCACGCCATTGGTGATTTTGCTACTAAATTTCAGCAAAGTGTTAACGAACTATAAAATTTGTTAGAGGGTTGCCTGCAGCCTATAAACCTCAGAATATTTTCCCCAAACCATTAAAATATATTTAAATTTGCAAAGTTAAGGAAATGAGAATGATAGTTCCCAGCAGTTATATTGACATAGGGTAGGATAGGGCAGGGCAGAATCCTCATTAGATACCTGAGCGTCAATATTCTGCAAACCAAACTGCTCACAAATGGAGACAAGCTTCTTTCTGTTAAAGTGGCCATCTCGGGAAATTCCAAGATCCTTGCAAACCTCATGTAACTTCTCTTCTATCCAATCCTGAGAGGGGAAGATATTTGAAGATGTATTCAAGTCATCAGGATTCCAGAACCTCAACTGGCCTAAAAAGAAAGCAACAAAGCTTGATTTGGGAGAGGGAAAAAAAACACACCCCTACATTTGAAAAAGCAAACAGAGGAAAAATCACAAATAAAATTAGTGAATCTTTCAAAAAGTGTAAATTCTTATCAATGTTCTCCCTAATGTTTTCTAGTTATATTACTATAAAGATGATTGCTTTTCCGTACTGCTTATTTTAAATAATTTACACATCCTACATTGTTTATCATAGTCAACATTATAATATCTAATAAACTCCTTGAACAATTAAAATAAATTAAGGTATAGTTTAAAGAAAATATTTTTGGTGTAGATTAACCATAGGTCCTTCTAACTGTCCTTACGTTAACTTCTAATTTAACTGTCATGTCCTTCTAACTGTGGCATAAACAGCATCATACAACTGTGTCATACAAATTTTTTTCATTATGACATTGCCTTAATCTCATTTCTAGTTCAGGCTGAGATAGTTTAAAATTGCTTTCTATTGTTCCAATTTTCCTCATCTTCTATTCCTCTTCTTCCAATACTGCTGGTTGCAAACCTAATCTAGAATGTTCTATTAAAAATTTAGTTGATTATGTGCTGGGATCTGTTCAGGTCCTATAGGCCATCTTGGTCAGTTCCAAAACTTCCAAATAACATGCAGATCAGAACTATATACTATTTTTTTCGGACTATAAGACACACCGGAGTAAAAGACCCACCAAGATTTTGAAGAGGTAAACAAGAAAAAAAAAAGTTTTTGCCCTCTCCAGCCCCCAGGAGCACTCTGCAGGCCTCCCAAATCCTCTGCGCATTCCGTTTTTGCGAAAAATGGGCCTGTTTTTGGCAAAAACGGGATGCGCAGGGTGGGGTTTTGGGAGGCCAGAAATGGCTGTATTTGGTGTATAAGACGCACCAACATTTCCACCCTTTTTTAGAGAGGAAAAGTGCGTCTTATACTCTGAAAAGTATGGTACCTCTTCCAGTCTGGCTTCTGCTCAGTATGGATACTTTGAAGACAGACTGTATCTGTAATGGAATACAGGCAGGAGGTGGATCTCCAGAAGGGAGGGGGTGCATTCCAGAGGAGTAAGAGGCAACTCAGTCTGGATGTTCTGTGTGTGTGAGAGAGGGTGAAGGCAGCCCCTCCCTAATAGTTCGAAGTATATTGTAGATGCAGATGTGACATTAGAATGCCCTGTCTACAAGATTTTGTGTGAAACAATAAAGAATTCAGCTTGGAAGAATCTGCATGTATTATATTTGGTTTTGGGCCTGACAGAATCTTTATAATATGTTGTTCAAAAGCACTTGACAATGTCTGAACCAAGAAAAATACTTTTATTGTTGCAGCTGTACTCTGTTACAATTAATTGTACACTCTCTAAAATTATAAATACAGTGAAAGGCAGAATTGTAATGTGTTAAATAAATGGGGTTATAAATTAGCGATTTTGAAGCTCTGAAAAGTTAAAACAATTTTTAAATGTAGAAAATAAATAAAAACTCCCTCTTCTCCCTGCTCCCAAATCAAACAATCCTTCTCCCAGTCCATTTTCTATTCCATTTATTTCAAAAGAAACTGGCATCATCTTCTCTTACCTTCAGCTTCATATTCTTCACTGTCCTGTGACTGCCAATTCTAAGAAAGAAAATAAGATTTTATTTTAATGCAGTAAATATGTACACCCAAAACAGGAATAAAGCAATCCCATTAATCTGTTGGGTCACTAGTGCCAACCTGGTGACACCTTAAAAATGTAACAGATAACTGGGATGAAGACCGAACAATATTTTCCTACCCCAGATGTAGATAAATTTAATAATGAGAGCACTTCAATTCATTTAGCTAAGCAAATTAGATTCTTCCCCATGAAAATGTCCATTTCATGGTATTTTGAAAAAGCAATTCCACAATCAATTATACACCACCAATAATAGAAATATAGGGAGTCCTCGACTTCCAATGGCACTGAACAAAGTGATTTATGAATGGTTTTCACACAGCACCCCCACAGTCACATGATCAAAATCCAGGGGCTTGGCAATGGTACTTCCAATGGTTGCAGCATCGTGAAATCATGTGATTGCCATTTGCAACCTTCCCAATCAGCTTCTGTCAATGGAGAAACCTGGATTCACTTAATAACTGCATGAGTTACTTTATAATTTTGGCAAAAAAAAAAAAAATTGGTGTAAATTTAGCTGCAAATCATTTAACAACCACTTTGTTTAGCAATGGAAATTCTGGTCCCAGCTACGGTACTTGTATCCCTCTGCTACCCTATCTTTTATCCCTGAACTTTTCATGAAGGTTCTTGACAGAGCCTTTCTGATTCTCATGCATAGGGTTGCCAGGTCTGCTTCCAAAAAATAGCGGACAAGCGGGGTGGTGGTGGTGGTAAAGTAGTAGTAGTAGTAAAAAAATAAGTAGTAAAAAAATAAAAAAAATTTTTACAATTAAATTATATATTTTCTTACAAACATTTTAACACGCCATTTTAGGTCAGTCGACACAAGCTACAATACATTTTAAAAATGTGAACTGTACATAATTTTATAATATATTTTTATTTTAATCTCATCATTAATTTTTCGGAGAATTGAGTTCAATGGATATTCGATCTTTGTCTCATTCTAACTTATGAAAAAAAAGACAAAACGCGATTCTCCTATCCTTATTCTCTTAGACTGTACAGCTTTAGATTACGTACTATTTCATCATAAAGCTTTTGAATAAAAAAAATGTCCACTATTTTGTGGACTGTCTGCTCAAATAGTGGACATCTGGCAACCCTACTCATGCAAAATATTACATCTCCTTTTAACATTATTTGCAAAGTAGACGTCAAGTTACTTTCCCTCTCACCATTCCCAAGCTGCTGTTTTTTAAGCAATAAAAGTACTTGAAATACAAAGAGCTGAAAAGGGGCCTGTTTGAAAATAATCTGTCAGATAGGTGGACACAATTAATACATGTGGATGCTTGCTATATAGGGGGACTAGGTTATTTGTTTTCAAGGAATTATGTGCCTCAGATTTGAGAGAGAAGGGATGGGCAACCTTGATATAAAAGAAAAAAATGGCAGGAGATGAAAGAAAGATCATGCTGGGCATATTCCCTACCATATGCCATTTTTTACTGACAGCAATAGCACTGGCAATAGCACTTAGACTTATATACTGCTTCATAGTGCTTTTTTTTTTTTTTAATTTGATTTATATGCCGCCCTTCTCCGGAGACTCAGGGCGGCTTACAGTGTGTTAAGCAATAGCCTTCATACTTTTGTATATTTATACAAAGTCAGCTTATTGCCCCCACAAACTGGGTCCTCATTTAACCTACCTTAGAAAGGATGGAAGGCTGAGTCAACCTTGAGCCTTGGAGAGATTCGAACCAGCAGTAAATTGCAGGCAGCTGTGTTAATAACAGGGTGCTTTAAACCACTGTAGTACCAAGGCTTTACAGCACTCTCTGAGCGGTTTACGGAATAGCATATTGCCCCCAGCAATCTGTGTCCTCACTTTACTGCCCTCTGAAGGATGGAAGGTGGAAACAACCTTGAGCCGGTTAGAATCGAACTCCTGGCAGTGGGCAGAGTTAGTCTGCAATACTGCATTCCAACCACTGCACTACCACAGCATTTAGGACATACAAGAATGTTTCAACATTCCCATTTGACAGAGGGGAAAACCAAGGAGGCACGTGCCCAGGGAGCAGCATTCTTAAATTTTCAAGAACAGTTACTACATTAATGCCCCAGTAAATGCCCTTCTTCCTTGCCCCTCCCCAATCAAAGCCCTAGGAATTCAAATGTACAAAGAGCAGAACCAACGTAGTCTGGTCAGGATTATACAATCTATTCAGAACCTGAGCATGAGCAGTAAAAGGATATTCCCCCCAAAGGATATACAATAAACAAACAGGATTATTACAGAGTCCTGGATTATACAGCTTCACATGGCACGGATGGATTTAAAATGCAGGGTAAATTCAATTTAGCAGATCTTAGCAGAATAGACTCTACATGCAACAGGCCCAATTCTGGCGAGAATTTACATCCTTTGCTTAATGTGTCTTCATGCATGTGACACAAATTGTGTAATTTTGTGCCACTTTATGTCATGTCTGTAGATTACATAACAATGGCATTGTGCCAAGAATGAACGAATGATGTAATATGGAAGTATTTCATATGTAATGTAAGTACATGAATAACAGACAGCCTTTCTTTCCAATTAGCCTATTAAAATGTTTCATGGTCCTGTGGGAAAAAGCACATCTTCCTGCGGATAGGTAAACATCACATCTCTTCCCTTGACAAAAGCAGGCAAGAGAAGAAAGTCGTAGTGCAACAAAAATAAAGGGAGGAGCAGAAAGAAAGATTCCGTACATGTGTGCTGATCTACAGTATAGAAATATATACCAATGCTGTTCACAGAAGGTTAGGAAACCCCTCTCAGCTTCCTGCACACACAAGAAAGATCAGACAACCATGACTTGAATAATAGAGAACATCCATAGACATTAAACAACCAGATGTTCCTGTCACCACCTAGCAAACAAGCCATCTAAGGACAGGACTGAATACCAAGGCAAGATCTCTGCATTATCAGGACTCTGAGTCTTTCTCTTTCATGAGACCTGTCAAAAAAGCATTAAGGGACAAATGTGATATGGGTTTTTTTTAAAAAACATGTCTATCCCCATTCATATATACAGCAGAAAAGAGGTCCATTTTTGCATTAAAAAGGCATAGTGGGGAAAGGGATGAGACCAGTGCACTCTATCACGCTGGGACCCTTTGAAAAGATGAACCCAAGCAGTTGGGCAGGAGAGCCTTCATCACCCTCAGCAGCAGATCCCTTTTACTCAGATTTTCCTGCAAGATTTAGACCCCCATCTTATTTTGCAAAGGGACAGGGCCGAGGAGCCAACAAATGCATTTCTAGTTTTCAAATACGCATGCGACTTCCAAACTGCATCAGGAAGAGAGGACTCCGTAAACTAATCCCTGCAAATCTAGAACTAGAACAAATGATTGCTTCAAGGATTTGGGAGCTTGTTTTTCTTCTTCGGGCTCAATATCTGTCATTCCATATGGAGAGCTCTGGGCTGTAAGAATCCGACAGTAGCAAAGACTCAGCCGATGTGACAAATAACGGTTGGTTTATTTTTAAAACAGGCATCAAAACACAGTTGTAACCGAAATGATATAATATCTCCCAGCGTGACTCTAGGAGATCTGCCTCTGCGGCTGTTTATGAAGCAATTCACTGTTTATATCCACAGCTGCAAAAAAAAAAAAAAAAAAAATGGCCCATACATTCAACAGGATATTTAGGTTGCAGAGTTTTAAAGCAGCATCTCAGGTATAAAAGGTAAAGGTTCCCCTCGCATATACTGTATATGCTAGTCGTACCTGACTCTAGAGGGCGGTGCTCATCTCTGTTTCAAAGCCAAAGAGCCAGCACTGTCCGAAGACATCTCCATGGTCATGTAGCCTGCATGACTAAATGCCAAAGGCACAGGGAATGCTGTTATCTTCCCACCAAAGGTGGTCCCTTATTTTTCTACTTGCATTTTTTACTTTCAAACTGCTAGGTTGGCAGAAGCTGGGACAAGTAACAGGAGCTCACCCCGTTACATGGCACTAGGGATTCGAATGGCTGAACTGCCGACCTTTTGATCGACAAGCTCAGCGTCTTAGCCACTGAGCCATTTTATAGATATATAATTAAAATTAGATTAACAGAGTTGGAAGGGACCTTGTAGGTCATCTAGTCCAACCCTCCGCCCAAGCAGGAGACCCTACACCATTTCTGACAAATGGCAATCCAATCTCTTCTTGAAAGCCTCCAGTGATAAAGCTCCCACAACTTCTAATTGCAAGTACATGGAGATATGTTATTTTTAAATTAAAAATACTTCACTTCCTGAAATTCTTTTACCCCTACCTCTTTCAACTCAATAAATCTTGCTAAAGAGAACTTTAAGAAACACGCATGGAAAATAATCCATGTGGGCAACTAGCAAACTAGCCTGATTATATCTTTTAGAAATACTCTACTGAAAGAATATGGAGAACAAATACAGGTAGTCCTCGACTTACAACAGTTCATTTAGTGACCGTTCAAAGTTACAATAGCACTGAAAAAAGTAACTTACGACCATTGAAGCATCCCCATAGTCACATGATCAAAATTCAGATGTTTGGCAACTGATTCATATTTATGACGGTTGCAGTGTCCCAAGGTCATGTTGCCACCTCCTGACCAGCAAATTCAATGGGGAAGCCAGATTCATTTAACAACAGTTTGCCTATGTTAACGATGACAGTGATTCACTTAACAACTGTGGCAAGGAAAGTCGTAAAATGGGGCAAACTCACTGAACAAATGTTTCACTTAGCAACAGAAATGTTGGGCTCAATTGTGGTCATAAGCCGGGGACTACTTGTACAGTTCCCAAAGGAGTGCACTCATCGCCTGGAGCAATGCAAGAGCAGGTTCTCCCCCGCATGTCCAAAATATTTGTTAGTTTTATATACGACTAAAATCAATTGACTCACCATAGTTTTTGAACATTCTTAATTGTAAACGTAATTTAAAACCATAAATTAATATAGTAAAATCATTTAA